TCTTTTGGCATGTAATTTCTGCTACATTCAGTGGATATGCTTTTAAAAGTTACCATCTGTTAAATGTTTTGATGCAATTTTTTTCACTTAATATATATATGAAATTCACAGCATTATTATTTTTAAAATTTTCATTTAAAATCAAGTCCTATGGAAATGCCAGGCTCATTTAATTCATTAATCTTATTTTTTTTATACTGGCACTCACATATACATTTCTAAGTACTGGCAATGGTTTTTAGTTTAGTTTATTTCATAATGGTTTTTAAATTGTATTCTTTGACACAGTTACATTTTGCCTATTAAACACAGATGAATATTTTTGACTTCCACAAAAAGCACAATCTCTCTCTTTTTAAAATACATGGCTTTCTTAGTTTATCTTTTCATTTTCCTGCTTCCAAGAGATATGAGTCCAAAGAAATAATTCTCTACTACAAGAAAAATAATAGTATAAGAGTAATGGTAAATGGCCATTGACATCTGGTCCCAGCATAAAGCAAGAAAATGAGGCATGATAGGCTGGATCCACAGTGAGTAGAAGACTTATGGTCCGTATGGTATGTTTGGGGCTCAGCTCTGTAGGTAGTTGCACTCGAGATCAGAAAGACCTTTATCCTGCTGCAGTCACTATTTATCTGGCTGCATGAGTACATTACATTTTTTTTTAAAGTTAGGCAAATCAACATTCTAATAGCCAAATAGAGTATATCTTTAGGCTCCTATCTAAATTGCTAAGGAAAAGGTTTTCTCCCAGCTGCCTTACCTTTGCATGACTGCCTACCTGCCTTGAATGGGGTTAGTATTTAACACCATTTTTTGCAGCATTCATGAATTCAACCAGCAAATACCTGAGAGATGGGCATTGTTCTGAGAGTTGGGGATACTGTGATGAATAAAGCAGAAAAATCTCTGTCCTCAGAAAAATCATGTCCTAATGGGGAGGGATGGAAAATTAAAAAAAAAAAAAAGATAAGTAAAATGTAAGCATGTCATAACTTGGTGCAAAAAAAAGAAACCATGACAATATTCCAGGAAAGAGCTGGTGGAGGTTTTGGAAAAGGGTGATCACACTGGAGGTGATGAAGTGGTTGAATCACTGAGTTATGGGTATATTTTGAAAATGAAGCTGACAAGATTTACTAAAATTCATGATGGAAAGGTATAAGAAAAAAAGAGTCAAAATTGTTTATCCGAGCAAGATGAAGGATGTAGTTGCCATTTATTGGAAGAGAAAGACGGAGGTGTTTTTGTGGCCAGTAGAGGGGAAGCTTAGTTTAGGTTTTGACTTCTTAAGTTTGATATGTGTTTTAGATATTCAAAGGGAAATGTTAAGTAGGCAATTGGATATCTGAGTCTGAATTGTAGAGAAGAGATGTAGACTGAAAATATAAATTTGGTAGTCCTCAGAATATAGATAGTATTTAAAGTCGTGTGACTAGGTGGTATTTCTTAAGAAGTGAATGTGGAGGGCTGAGGTCTGAGTTTTGGGGAACTATTTAGAGGTTGAGGGTGTGTAGAGGATCCAAGAAACAAGACTGGAGGAATGGCTATTGAGGAAGGGAGAAAACAGGAAATGATGATGTCCTGGAAGCATAGTGAAGGTGGTTGAACAGAGAGGCAGTAATCAACTGTGTTGAATACTGCCCATAGGTCAAGTAGGGTGAAGATTGAGAATTGATCATTGGATTTAGCAATACAGAGGTTCTCATTGATCTTGACAAGAGCAGCTCAGGTCTGAAGAAGACAATAAATGAGGTAGTAGTTTTGGGAACACTAGAGATAAAGAGGAGTTTTGTTTTTAAGATGGGAGAAATAAAACCAGAATCCCTTAGTTGATGGTTAAGCCTCTTTACTCCACCCATAAGAAATATCATCTTAACCCTGGAGTTGAAACCTTACTGGAGAAATGGAAGAAATGATAAAATAATAGGACCAGGTAATTAGTGCTAGAATAGTTAAAAAAAAAAAAAGAAAGAAAGAAAGAAAAGAAAAAATAAGAAAATGAAAGTAGTTTTCAGAGATGGTGGAGTTCAAATTTTTAAATTCTTAATTCTTAAAATAAGTTGGATTTTGGTAGATGAAAAGAGTGGGAAAAAAAGAAAAGTATGATATTTGCGGAACAGTAAGACTGGCCTGGTTGGAATTCATATTAAGAGATGAGGTGATAAACATAGAGAGCTTTTACCATCAGCTAATTCCAGCTTTGTTATTTTGGCAATGGAGAGTAAAAGGATTAAATAATCCATCTGCAATAGCTGTAGAATTAAAAAATAAAGTCTTGTTAATAGTTTTCTTTTTAGTGACTTTATTATTAGAAAATTCCTTCAAATGTTTTCTCAATAAGGAGTAAAAGCTAATAAAACCAGCTGAATTTTAAAATATTATAATAATTACTTTTAAGCCTGAAGATTTTGCCCTATGCAAGACAAAAATACCTCTAGGTAACCACAAATTTCTTTTTAAAATGTTCATCTATCCCATTTTTATACTCTGGAATGGTATTTTAAAAGTATTTTATAAATAAGAAATCAGTTAAATAAATTATTTCTAATTAAACCATTAGATATTTTACAGTTCACAATATCAACTCTACTTTTGGAAAATAGACTCTTGTTTATATTACTTTATAGGCCTAACTTTTTTTTTTTAATATTTTTTTTTCTTTATTTATGATAGTCACAGAGAGAGAGGGGCAAGGCAGAGACACAGGCAGAGGGAGAAGCAGGCTCCATGCACTGGGAGCCCGATGTGGGATTCGATCCCGGGTCTCCAGGATTGCGCCCTGGGCCAAAGGCAGGCGCCAAACCTCTGCGCCACCCAGGGATCCCAAGGCCTAACTTTTAAAAAATACAAAATATTTCTAATCCGTACAAGCCAGTAAAAGGGATTTCATTCAAAGAAAGACAAATATAGATTTAATGGAGCTTTTCAAATAGGCGTATCTTAAGTTTTCACCAACCCTCAAAATCACCCTAAATAAAACTGGACTTAGTATTTGGAATCCTTGAAGTAGTTGTCAGGATCAGTTCTGAAGATAACTACCTGAGTTACTTTATTTTTACAAAAGGGATGCTGTGAGGATGAACCATATGAAACTACCATTTTTGTAGGTTAAAAAAATTATAGCATAGTAGCATTTTAATTAACAGCTCAACATAAAAATTCCAACTTGTCTCTCCCAAGGTTTGTTAAAAGTCCCAACCTCACGGTGGGAGGGACAACCTGAAGGGAGCAAGGCATTGTTCTAGAAATTGCACATTCTTTGAAGAACTGGTTTTTATTTGAGTATCTATAGATGAAGGTTCTGCCCTCACTCCTATTGATTGTTTACTTATTTATAGAGCCTTAATGTTTACCATCTAGTAAAAAAAGTAAACACAGATATGCTTATTTTTAAAGTTAATTTTACTACGCTTACATGCTTCCTTTTTTTTTTTTTTAAAAAAAGATTTTATTTATTTATGATAGACATAGAGAGAGGCAGAGACACAGGCAGAGGGAGAGGGAGAGGCAGGCTCCATGCCGGGAGCCCCACGTGGGACCCAACCCCGGGACTCCAGGATCGCTCCCCGGGCCAAAGGCAGGCGCCAAAGCGCTGAGCCACCCAGGGATCCTCGCTTACATGCTTCCTATACTAACATTCAAAATAAAAAAGCATTTGTGGAGAAAAAAATTCACTCACCTTTAAAATTGTAACTGGTTATTATATCTTACAATGGAATGGTAGGGTGCAAATGTTATTTTACACCAGCACCTAAAGCAAATCATAGGACCTAGCTTATAGGTACAGTGAATAGTTTTAGATCAAGGCTCTGACTTTTCAATGCTGGGTTGGCTCTCCATAAAAATGGGAAAATTTGGCAAAGGAAACATGGAAAGATTGTGGCAGATTTGAGTCAGCAAGTCCCTTTTGAACCTCAGTGGTAGATATCTCAGTGCAATTTATAGTAGAGAAAATCTAAGTCTAGAGAACCTCTGTGGTTTTATCTCAATTTTAGTGGTCGAAATATTCCATTAAATATCTTTTTCTGAAGAATGGTATGGATGAGCAGTGCTAGGCAGAATCTGAATCAATGCAGAAAAGGATTCAAAACATACACCATAGATAGATGCTCTCCTTATGGCAACTTCGACCACAGTAACCTCTTACCCATAAAGACTCATTAAAAAATTAAATGTAGATAGAATATAATTAAATGCACTACACTGTAATTATTACATATAACTATAACTAAAACAGTAGGACATACTAAATGAGAGCACACGAGGAAGAAAGGGCTTGTTAGTTAGGTGTTAGGTTCGAGTCTGAATAGGAGAGAAAACATATTCATTGGGTATCAGTATTGGAAGACGTAAGTGCATCCAAAAAACAGAGAAATACTGGTCATCTTTCTTTTTCAATTGTTTCATCGAGAAGAATCTTTTTTGGGTGATAAAACTTACAAGCTAAATTAAAATGCACTCTACTCATTGGCAAGCCACACCAGCAAGAATAATGTGATGATGGTACTTGGAAGTTTTTGATTTATAACTATACTATTCTTTACTTATAAGGCTGCAGTCTAGGAGGCAGAGCAATGAATCATTACAATTGTCTATCTGGGAAATGTCAAAAGATTAAGTAAGGGCAGAAGAAGGGAGAAAAGGAAAGAACACACATTTTTGTCTGAGAATTATTCCACAACTAATCAGAAGATACCACTAGCACACAAATCCGGTACTAAGGAAATGATAATTAAATTTTTTAGATCTTCAAGCAAGACCACTAACGAACCACAGTGCTTAGACTTCCTGGGTAGAAAGGCAGGATGCCCTCTGATGCTAACGAAGGTGTCCTTATTGGACTCTCACGTGGACCTCTCCCTCCACATTGAGCGTTTGAGGAAGTCAATTTAAGCTGAAGTGCATTAGAAATTTGAACCAATCATTGATGGATCCAGATTTTTTTTTTTAAAAAGGACACATACAGTTTAATTGATACTTTGCCAATACAAAAATAAGCATCCACAGAATGTTTATTTACTGTTTAAATTACTCCATATATTCATATACCAGGAACAGAAAATATACTTTATCCCACGCACAATAAGAGCAAACAAGTGCAATCTTTCAGACATTAAACATTATAGTCAAATCTGTACAACAGATAAATAAATTTATACCTCTAACAGTTAGCTTGTAACAAGACAAAATGAAAAACACATATGCCCATTGTCACCCAGTTACTTAAAATTCTACTTAGGACTATACATCTCCGTCAACAGCTTGAATCTTTACTACACTGCACAAGTTAGACTGATAAATATTTCTTTTTAAAATAGCAGGGAGGGAGTAATAGGAAATACTAAGATGATTATAAAGAGCTTTCCAAACATTGGAAATAAGAGAGAAATTAATGAGTTGGAGGAAAACATACTACATGGATCCACAGGGTAACTGGTATTACATTGGTATAGCTTAAAGAAAGGAAACAGATGGGTGTCTGGATTGGAAAGAAAATTTGGCCTTTTATAAAAAGAAGCAACAACAGTGACAAAACCCTGTCACAGAGCCTAGAACAACTCTGTGAGACAAAGGGTACAAAGACGTAGGTATACCTGAAAAACCAAGGCTGGGAAAGAAAAATCATGTCAGGAAACAGCTAACATCAGAACGTGAACATATATAAATTAAAGGCATACTTGTTTATCGTCCCACATCATTGCACTTATGGTAAGAAAACAATACTGCAGTCATTCTTGAGTAAGAAAGTTTTCAGCTAAGTAGGAAGTTCCATGATGAATACAGATAGATAATATAGATAATCTTATTACCACAAATTTAGTAAATATCAAAACCTCAGTGGTGCCACTAAGCTAATTATGTTTTTACTGGAAACGTAATTATTTCCCTGCCTTCATGTTAACTTAAAATGATTTATAAATGGATATATAGATCCAGTAGAAAAGACATTTCACATGCAATCCTATACAATGCACTCTGCTTCAATTTTTTTTCGGTATTTCACATTGGAGATGTACATTTCCACTATATACAACCACACATGTTCAACAGACGCCACTGAGCTGTCCTCTTGCCAAACAAGTTTTTAATTTACATATACATTTATATCTCCAGATAGATGCATTTCTCCTCTAGGCAGACACAAAATTAGCCTGGAGAGTTTAAGTTTCTTAGGATTTTAGTAACCTAATGTCTTGATTTGTCTTGAATCGACGATAAGATGAGGAGTCCACAAAAAAATGCAGCTATACATGCCAACCTTTTCAACAGAGACAAGTTATCTTTAGGAATAATAATCTGTGCAAGATCATTAGTGATCTGAGAAATTTCATGTGCCACACAAACAAATATGAAAGTGCTGACAATGATGTTGAGCATAGGGTTTCCAGGTATGAGTACCAAGATGCCTCTTGTGTCGGCTGCCAGCCATATGTGATATTGGCAAATAAATAGCTGGAAGGAAAGTATTTAAAGTTAGATATGCCCAGAGGGTCCACAACTATATCACAGTTTTGCCTAAACATGTCATTGCATAATTATGTTAGGAGACTTTTTCCAAACCATATACTTCTGTTTCACTGTTGGTCCCCAAAAGTCTATTGCAGTCTACTCTTCAGAACTCCTACTTGAAGTACTGCTTCAAAGTCCCCAAGAAATGAAATAGGAACCTTATAACCTTAAAAAACTTTTTTTTTTTTTTTTTTTTTTTGCGTGACACAAAAGACAGCTGACAGAAGGCTTTCTGGATTCTGGATTCTGGTATTTAGACCCCAAATAAAGAATCACTACATGTGTGTGCACACACATAATCCATATTTATATATATTTGTGAATATATTTCTGCATGTGGATATGTAAGCAGAAAATGGTATGGGTTTTAAGATGCCCTCAAGTTTGCTCTGCATGGCCAGACAAATGTTTTTAATTGCATCTCATGTTTCTAAAGCATATTTCAACTTCAATATGAGTATACATATTAGAGGACACCACTGCAACTTTTGATTATGATTACAAATGTGGTTCTTTCATCACATTGGCTTAAAATAGCAGAGAGTAGAAAAATGCTTATAAGCTACCTCTCAAATAGGAAACTATACAATTTTGGTACTTTTTCTAGAAATACTGAATTATAAATGCATTCACTAAAGTTGATAAAAACTCTCATGCTCCAAATATTATGGAGATGTCACAACAAGCATTCCTTTATCTATTGAATGGTTTGGTAAGTTATTCTTGATTAATAATTCTAAATTCTATTCAATCTCACTTATGAGACAACAAAATAACATTTATTAAAGAACTCAAAAGAAAATTTATTTTCTCTATTTTAAGGACAACTTAATAAATCTTACACTCTAAAATGTATCTTTTATGATTATGATATGAATTCTACTGCTCTAAAATGTCCTACTTTGAATAATAGAGCTCAGAATATTCAGAATGTTTTTTAAAACCTAGTTTAAGGTTTTAAGTAAGTCATACTCAGTACTGCATACAAAATGTAATTACGTTTAAAAAAATTTCCCGAAATTTCCAGTCATATGGGTGAGTTCTATTAGGATAAGTATTGATAAACTAAATTCAGTAATATTTAATTATGGAGATGAAAAACAAATCAGAATCCCCTCAGCTTGTCTTCATTTATATTTGTTTAACTTTTTCTTTCCTGATCTCAGCTTCTTAGTTGTGCTTAAAAGCTGAAGACAATATAAAGAATATTTGAAAGTCATCTATTTCTAGTCATTTAAATAAGGCTTTAAAAATATACTACTCTATTGCTGTTGAAAGTTCTGAGTTTCTTTTCTGTGTTTCCATAAATAACATAGCTTTGATATAAAAAGAATATATTTTGGACTTATATATACACACACACAAACACGTAACACTTGACTGTGTAGGAGAGAATAAAATATTAATGTACCAACCTCTAATGAAATTTTTCCAAACCAAGCAAAAAATGAGCTATAAACGGAACGGGCATATCCAGGGATATTCCTTATTAGGATGAAAGCTAAAATCTAAGGAAAAACCACAAAGGCAAAATAAATAATCTATTTACTAAAAGCAATTGCTTTCCTTCAAGTGATAACTTTATTATCTATGTTCTTGAATTTGATACATACACAATGGTTTTTTTTCAATAGAGAAAGTTTCAGCAAGTTATTTTTGTTCTAGAGTCTGTCCAAGCTAGATTTCTCAACATGTGGTCTGTATACTCCGTATCAGTGCAGATTTTAGGTAGTACATGGCTGAACAATTTTATGTGTATTTGAAAAATTATAAATCCACTTGCCTTCTGTGCAGAAAAAAAGGATATCATATTTTGTGAAGCAGAAATCAAAAAATCCCATGATACAATTTGGTGTCTTCCATAAAGTATCTGCCTTATTGGTGGCCACCTAACATCCCCCTCTTGTATTCCTCAAAGGCCTCCTTCCACTTAACAGCTAAATATGAGAAATGGTATGACTTTTAAGATGTCCTCATGTTTGCTCTGTATAGCCAGGAAAATGACATCTTGAAATGCATTCACATGTCATGTATTTTTCCTTTTGATTTCTTCTCCCTAATGACAATCTCCAACTTTTGAGCACCTGGCCTTCACCACTCTCCCTCATCCTTTTGTACCAGGTGGAACAATCCTGAATTTTCTAGACCTCTAATTCAGTGTTACATTCAGTAACTACTTTAACAAGCAAAGAACTCTCTTTAGAATCTATTCTCTTTATAAGGAAGAAATTGTAAAGAAAAAACTGTTTACACTTTCACAAATACCTTTCAGTTCGAGGTGGAACAATCCTGAATTTTCTAGACCTCTAATTCAGTGTTACATTCAGTAACTACTTTACCAAGCAAAGAACTCTCTTTAGAATCTATTCTCTTTATAAGGAAGAAATTGTAAAGAAAAAACTGTTTACACTTTCACAAATACCTTTCAAAAACTTTCTCATAGAAAGATTGAAAAATCTATTTACACTTCAGAGAAAAATCCCATATTCAGTGTTCATCACTATGGGCATTGGTCTAAGGCTTCAGGAAGAGCCCTCTGGGATGCATACAGGATGAGTGAGTAGGAGATTTGTGGGTCACTTTATCACTAGGGAAAAAGGAACCAAAGTGAAATACTCAGGTACTATTAAGTTGGGTGATCTTCATGGAGAGTAGCATCAAAGAAACTCAAGTTTGAATCTGGCCTTTGCCTTGTATTAGTCCAGGGGTTTAAGGCAAAGTACTTTACTCCCTTAGGTCTGTTTCCTCATCCATACAAAGAGGGATAAGATTTACTTTGAAGGTTGATGTGAACATTAGATAGAAAAACATATATAAGGTACTTATCATAGCATGCAAGGTGAGCCATTAAAGAAACATATTAGGTAATTAATAGCATAGGCGGTATACATAAATGGTAAAAATCATAAATGTGGGATAAATAAATAAATCCCTTAAACACAAAACCATTTAATGAGTTATTATAATTAAAGTATTGCACAAACTATAAAATGCTAGAAAGAATGACACAGATACATACAAATCACTAGTCTGAGCAGCAGAAAATCTAGGAATAGCCCTAAGCAAATCACTTTCCTTTTTACTGAGTTTAATCTACCCTTTCTCAATGTGTACTTATTCTTTAGCATATTCCAGTCTGTGTTTCGTCATACACTTAGTAAACAATATGATTAGGGGAATAGAAAAATCAAAGAAATGATAGCCATGGAGAAGACAGCTGGGGTCTAGGGAGTCATCTTTATTAGCTTGATAAAGAAATAATAACAACACTTAAAATTTGTTCAGCATTTGTAACTTGCTGGGTACTATGCTAGGACTTAATATACATTATTTATGGTTAATCACCTGTATGCTGTTCTACAGCAAGCCTTTCTGGAAATTTCTATCCAGACTGATGGGCAAACTAAAAGATCAGGATTCAAGGATTGATCTATAAGAGTGAAATAGATAAAAGGGATTAAGAGTATACTTATCTTGATGAGCACTGAGAAATATATGAACTATTGTTGAACTATTACACTGTACAGAGGAAACTAATAAACACTGTTAATTGTTACCTGAATTTTAAAAAAAGGATTGATCCATAAGCTTTCTGCTGGGTCAGGCTGGGAAAATACTTTCTAACAGAACAACACTGGGAATCTTGTACATGCTAAAATCTTAAGAAACCCCCTCAGATAAGTGCGCTAAGAATATATAATCATATATAAATTATTAATGATCATATCCACCCACACCCTCACACCTACACCACCTGTTGCTATCTGAGAATAAGAGTGAAATGTGATAAGGATGTAAAATTTGGGGCTTTCTGGATGCTCTTACTTTTACAACAGGAAGCTAGTGACCTTGAAAAGAAATAGCTGCCAATGAAATTAGTACTTGCTTCAATTTGTGCTCCCAGTCCATTCTTTCATTCCACAACAGAGGAGTTAATGCCCTCACTGAAAAAGTACTAAGGGAATAGGAGTGTGTGAAGGGTGGTGACCGGAAAGGAAGATGATAGGCTCAGGAGTGCACGTGTGGTATTATTCTATGTCTATCCACTTAAGCTCTCTTTATATTGTTCCGTACTGGTGCACAGTGAATGGTAACACCTCCCTTCCATCATCAGTAACAGAAGTGATATCAGATATGATATGCAAAAAGTTATTGGGAAGCACTGCTACTGTCTACAGAAGTCATAGAAATGCTACATAAGTACAGTATAATGTTTAAAATTTCATTATCAATTGTATTTCAAGAGTCTGTCACACGCTGGGTTCTGCTAACTATATAGACGTTTAAGAGGAACAAAACATTTCCAGCACTGAAGAGAACATAAGACCTAAGAGAAGCTCCTCTAGAAAGTATCCCTGCTTCTGTTGGCCGCACTACTCATTTTTTGGGTGTCAGCTTAGACACTGCTATCTCCAAGAATCCTGCTCTGATACCAATATGGGTCAGGAAGAAGTCCCACATATTACCAAAGCACCCGTGCTGAACTAGCAGCACACTGTCAAATGTCCTGTCACCACCTGCAGTCAGAGGTATCTCTGCAAACCATCAATCTGATTTGAGGTACTCCTTGCCTCTGCCCACTTCCTGGTCACTACCACTTAGTTCTCTCAACCCTAGCTCTCTGAGCTGTAACTCGAACAGCCTTCCTCAAATTCTCTGAATGTAAGTATGCTCCCTTCCCCTACAGGGCCTGAGTTCTTGCTGTCTACCTGCATCCCTCCATTCTCAACTTAATTTTCTCAGGGAAATAATTTCTGTCCCTGACCACGCCTTGCATCAATTCCAACTAGGTCATATCCCCTCATTATATTCTCTTGTAGCACCATGTACTACTATTTCTAATTACATGGTGATTATATGATTACTATCTGTAATAAAAGAATGAAGGCTCTGGAAGGGTAGGAACCAAGTCTGATTTGGTTACCTCTGTATCTTCCCAGCATATCTAGTGCATAGTAGGTATCAAGTATTTGTTAAAGAAATAAAAAATGTTAAATGAATGAATGTTTACTGGTCCATATCTCTATCAGACTGTTCATTCCATGAGAGCAGGAGCTGTATGCATCTTAACATGGAACTTCTTCTTACACATTTATGTATGTGTACTTATAGCATAGTACTTAACACATTAATAATGATTAAGTAAATAAATATGAGTAAATGAAAACAAAGCAAATATGAGGAGAACTGACATTTTCTAAGTGCCCACTAAGTGACCAATACCAATCATTTCTATACATTTAGTATAACAATCCTTTAAAAGAGATTGTAAAGTCCCTGTACAATAAAGGATGGTAGGGCTTAGGAAGATTAAGTAATATACCTATATTTTATAGTTTGATCTCAAATCATACTGCCTGTAAAGACTGTATTCTTAATAAGAATTAAGAAAATTTTTTTTTCCTAAATCAAGATAATTACCTGTACCACAGATACAGATGGGTGGAGTTCATTGCACTCTGCTTTGTTTTTACAACTGCTAGCCCAGATGGAATAGGTCTAAAACAAAAAACACATGGATCAGTTCATGAAAACAGTTATGCCTGAACAAGGCAGCTTTCTCAGGATCTTTACATGTTTTTTTGTTTGTTTATAACATTATATTCCATTATGCTATTTAAAAAGCTTCAGTAAAAACTGCTCACTCATTTGGTCATCACTTGTTATGGTTTGTTCAACTGCTCAAATAAAAGAAAGCAGAGAGAGAAGAGCATAGGTCTGTGCTTTTCTGGAAACAGTGATCATGAGGCAGTGATGGCTCTTTCTGTTAAATACCTTATGTTACATTTTTTCCCTATTACAACTTTGAAAATTTCTATTTCACTGAGTTCTCAATTATTCTTCTTATTAAACTTATATATTGCCTTAGCATCTATGTTCAATTAGAAAAATACAGAGAAAAAGAATTTTAAAGTAAAGATTTTATTTATTAAAAACAAGTGACTAAATTCCTATTGCCTAAAGTTAATTTTCTGTACATTTAGGACTTTGAAAAATTACAAGATTACATTTTGAAACTTACCAAGAAAGAAACTACTGAAATAAACAATAGAAAATTTGAAATTTTGTTTGAAAAAAGAGGTTCACCCTTTCCTTCAGAAAGTACTTGACGCTTCTGTAAAGCCAGATAGATGAAAGCAAACAACATTCCATGAAAGACTACCTAAAAAATAAGGAGAGAAAATTTGTTTTAAACAGCAACTTTTCAATAAATAGCATAAATATTTGGTAAAGGAGAACAATAAGTACTAAAGTAAGTAGGTAAAAAGCTTAAAGGTTGGAAGTTTCTATGAAGGACTTAAACTTCAAGAAATGACATAAAGTCAATGATTGTTAGAAACAATCTGCAATAGGACAGCAAACAGCTCTTGCAACAATATGAGATAAGCTGGTTCATTTTGAGCAGTCTCAGCAGCAAGCAAAGAAATAAAGATAATTTTAAAATAATGATGAAAACACAAAAAAACAAGTGTCAGTGAGAAAAAAGGAACCCTTTTGTATTGTTGGTGGGAAAGCAAACTGGGACAACCACAGTGGAAAACAGTATAGAGGTTCCTCAAAAAATTAAAAGTAGAACTTTTCTCCAGTAATTCCACTACTGATATTTACCCAGAGAATGCAAAAACACTAATACAAAAAGATACATGCACCCCAATGTTTACAGCAACATTATCTACACTAGCCATATTATGGAAACAGCCCAAGTTTACACTGACTGATGAATGGAAAAAGAAGCAGTATATATACACAATGGAATATTACTGAGCCATACAAAGAATGAATTTGCAACAACATGGGTGGATCTAGAGGGTACAAAACTAAGTGAAATAAGTCAATCAGAAAAGACAAATACCATATGATTTCACTCATATATGTAATTTAAGAAACAAAATAAACAAAGAAAAGGAGATAAATCAAAACAGACTCAACTACAGAGAACAAACTGATGATTATCAGAGGGGAGGTGAGTTGAAGGATGGGTAGAACAGGGGATTGGGATTAAGAGTACACATATCATGATGAGTAATGTATGAAGTTGCTGAATCATTATATTGCACACCTAAAACTAATATAACACTATGTCAACTATACTGTAATTAAAAAAGAATAACAAAAATAATTAATAGAACTATTATGGAAACATATGATAAAACTTAAATACTAAACCAAAATAAAACACATTTTATATTGATACTTTCAATCAAATAAATTAACACTAGCAGCACCAAGATCATGCTTTTAAAAAAAAGCATATGCGGGGATCCCTGGGTGGCGCAGCGGTTTGGCGCCTGCCTTTGGTCCAGGGCGCGATCCTGGAGACCCGGGATCGAATCCCACATCGGGCTCCCGGTGCATGGAGCCTGCTTCTCCCTCTGCCTGTGTCTCTGCCTCTCTCTCTCTCAATCTGTGACTATCATTAAAAAAAAAAAAAAAAAGCATATGCACACAAGAATGCAAAGGAAAAAAAATACAGTGGACCAGAAAGCACATAAAGCTGCTACCTATTTTTTTTTAATATTTATTTTTTAGAGAGAGGGAAGAAGAGAGAGTGAGCAAGCACACAAGCTTGAGTATGCACACGGCAGTGGGAAAGGCGGGTTGGCAGAGGGAGAGGATCTCCAAGCAGACTCCCTGCTGAGCCCTCCTAGTACCCTGAGACCACCACTTGAACTGGAAGCCAAGGGTTAGACACTTAACTGACTGAACCACCCAATTGTCACCTCAAAGCTTCTCTTTTTTAAACAAGGACTTAACGTGAACTATCATATCATAGTACACTGCTCTAATGACAAAGTTGAGAATTTAAAGTTATTTGATATCAAGATTTTAGCAAAGCTTTTTAGTCATATGTGGTTCTGAAATGCCATGTAGTACACTGGAAAGTACACAGGTATTGAAAACCAGAAATGGCACAGAATAGGCATTAAGAAAAGATTTGTTGAATGAAACAAAGGATGAGTGAAATATGGAAGGAAAAGCGGAGAGAAGAGATGTAATTATTATTTATTCATTGTCCATTATTCTCCAAATGCTGTGCTAGATGTTTTATATTTTCTTGGCCAGTTGAATCTTAACTTTCCTTTAAGATTAATTTATGGACTGACCCACGACACTGGTATCTCTTCTCTGCACACTTCTACCACAAAATCCACACTGCATAACTTAGCACCTAATTATAACTAGTAATCTTGGGATTTATACTAGATTGTAAGGCTTAGAAGCCTGGTGGTATGTCTTCTTCCTTTACTATATTCCTCACAAAATGAACATCTAAGGGCTCAATAAATATTGTATTGTATGGCTGAAGCATATACACGAGGGATCATTTTTTTTTTAAGTTTATTTAACTAACCTTTACACCCAGTGTGGGGCTTGAATTCATGACCCAGGGATCAAGAGCTGCACGCTCTACCAACTAAGCCAGCCAGGCACCCCTATGAGGGATCATTTATAAGTCAAAATTAGGACTCAACAAAGGCCTCTTTATAGACAGCATTTTTAGAGAGTTTTCCTGCTGATATACATATCCATGCATACCCTTTCTCTGCTATAAAAAAAAAAAAAAAACAGGAGGAGTAGGGCTGCTTTAATTTATCAAGTCAACATGCTTCCTTATTCCAAAACTAAATAATTTTCCAAATAATTTTTAAAAGTATATTTTGAAATGGCAAAGGATCACAAGGTAAATACATACGTAACGGTCTAACCTCCATCTGAACCACCATTCATATACATTCCCTTTCAGTTCAAAACACTTGGACAATGGCCAAAGAGAAAAGATCTTCTCAAATGCACCCTGAGAAAAGGAATCCAGAACACAAATTAAGATGGTACAAGTCAATACTTGTTTTTTAATTATATTATAAATTATAGTTTCTAAAGTTATGATTATATAAGAGTCCTTCACAATTTAAAAATTCTTTTTCATTTGAAAAGAAATTTATTTTAATAAAGGCTAACATATATGACTTTTAAAACTTTCTGGTAACTTATTTCACTGCACATGAAAGGTTACAGAGATTGCAAAATCAAAAAAAAAAAAAGTAAGCGAGTAACTGGAAAATTCTTCCATTTAAGGTTTTTTTAATCTAGTACACAAAACAGCTAATATTTACTAATCAAAATACCAAAATACAAAAGACCTCAGCCAATAGGATATCAATATTCTAAAGAACGATAGTTAAGGTTAAAATACAGTTTTTCTTTCTCTAAATGTCCTCAATAATCTCTAATTAATCATTTGAGTTAAAAGAATCCTCTGAATTAGTAACCTTACTCAATCAACCATACCCAAATGCCATTACTAGCCTTTGAAACAAAGTTTACAATTTTACTGTGGTCAAGTTAGTGAATGGTACCCTCTTATTAATCTGACAAGCCTGGAAAATCTGGGAATGAAGGGGCAGAAGTCTTGGGTGCATTCCTGCACATTAATGAAGTAGAGAACAAAAACTTCAATTTCCAGACTAAAGAACGGCAACAAACTCTATTAAGGAAAGCTCCATTATTAGGCCTAATGCCACAGCAAAAAAAAAAAATGTAACATAACAATTTTTAAAAAGGCTATTAAAAACAAAAAAAAGAAAGAAAGAAAGAAAGAAAGAAAGAAAGAAAGAAAGAAAGAAAGAAAGAAAGAAAGAAAAAATAGCATTGTATTTTAGGTAATGCTGAAACCTTATTATGAAACCTTATTATCTTAATAAAATGCAATATTCTCCATTTAACCATTTAAGAATTTTAAATATTTATAGTTTATTAGATAGAGGTTAAAATGTATTCCTCAGAAAACAGGATGATTCTTACCAAGGGTTGCAATATACTTACAGATCATATATATAGTGATATGAAATACAAAAATATAAATACAATATCGATATGAAACAAATATATAGTATCTATAAGAGTTACATGGTCTTAAGAGATCATATATATGTGATGCATTTATCATTTAAAATATTATTTCTGATTAAAAATTTGTTTCTTAAGTGATCAGTGGGCAAATATTTAGTGAGCATTCATTTTGTACAAGACACTGGGCTACTCTGGGCCACATACTTTTTTTTCCCCCCAAGTGCACTGATCCAAAACTGGGGAAACCTTCTTAGTTTTTTTATTGAACCTGTGGTTCACCTTCCCTTCTCTCCCTCAGATGCACTGCAGAGTGTTTGGAATTTTAATAAGTAAATGTCAAATAGCTGTTCCAGTTACCTGGCTATTTCTTTATACATTTGCTATCATTTCCTTATTATTCTATAAATCTCCTGTAAAAAACCCTGGAGGTTAGGCAGAAATAAAAATGCTTTACTTCCAAGTATGAAAATAAGTATGAAAGTCTACAAAACAAACAAACAAAAACCAGCTTTATAGGATCACACATGCACGTATACACACACACACACATACACGCACACACTCACACACACACAATGTTTATATGGCATTTGCACCTGACACAGATTAAGTCCAAGACGGGGAACACTAGAGATGGGAGAAAACTGCAGAATATGTCACAACTATAGGCATTCAAATTAAAATATTTTGTTATAAATATCATGCTGCCCAAATAATATGTCTACCTGATGACGGACCAGCAAATAGCAGTTTGTCACCTTGCTAAAGTAGCTGAGAAGATCTCAACCATCATAATGGGGGATAAAACAGTAGAAATAAGAAACTATCCAAAAAATTTATTAAATTCAACATATATGCAAACCCATTTGCTCCTAAGTTGGTTTTACTAACTGCCAAAATTTTACTCTATGCAGTTATGGAAAAATCAAGTAACACTTTTGATGCAATGAATAATGCACAAACCAAGTTGCAAATTCTGTCAAGAGAATTTTGATCTCCACTTAGAGCAGTGTCTTATAAGAGGCATTCAATAAACGTCTGATTGATCAAAGTCAAGTAAAATGGATTTTGAACAATTGCCAGAGGAAGAGCTTCAAATTGCTCTTACAACAAAAACAGTGGTAACAAAAGTAGATAGGTCTCAAAAGAACTACACTGAGTAGTCAACTACAGAGTGACACTTTTATTACAGTCATTAAAAAATGAAGCTAAAAAAAAGCTCTGACTCTTCTCACATACTTTAATAGACTTGAACTTTAAAATAAAATAGAACAAAATATAAACTGAAAAAACTGTACAAACCTGAGAATATGCCAAAAAACATATACATAACAGCAAGAAGGCTAGTTTCAACAGTAAGCCAAAATGCCAGAAACAATTTCCTAAGAGAGAAAATATTTAATTTACTAAAAAGTATAAATTTACATTAGAAAACATATTAATAGTCTCTGCATAACATATTAATACCCTGCACAGTTCTTAGAATAATTGAGGGCTGCACACAGGATACATAAAATATATAAGTGATATAAATTATAAGAAGGGCAAAAGGAAAAGATAGAGCATCCTTGCTAGGAAAGAGGCCACAACCTACACCTGAAACCCTCCGTATCTCCCGTTTATCCACTGTAAATATATCTGAAAATACCTCCTGGATTCAACTACACCTGTTTATTATTCAAAGTTAGTACAAAATTTGGAACAAAATTTATCATATAATTCTAACACTCATGTTGAATATACCTTGGTAATACTGCTTAAACATTCAAGTTCCAAGGGGAGAGCTTGAGAACTCTCTAATGGATCAGGGTTTAACCTTAAGATGTATTTTACCATAGGCATATTTTAAGTTATGTTTCATAGTTTATATATATATTTATTTCATTTGATTAATACACGAGGTTGGTGGCAAGGGATTAAGCTACAGAGGCTGTTCAAGGACATTCATGGACTTGATTAAAGGCTGGAATTCAACTCTTTCCTGAAAAAGTTATTTGACATTATTACGGAGGCCAGTGGAAAATATTTCTGATATACAGTATTTGGTTAAAAGAGTTAAGTTAAAAATTATTAAAAATAACAACTTTGATTTTTTTCCAAAAGAGGGAAACTTCTATTTCAATGATATGATCTTGAGGGGAAAAAAGTATTAAGATAAATGAGTGCGGCCTCACTCTGAACATTATCAGTAACTAACTGGCTGTGTGGAGTTTGAAGGTGATGACCCTCCGGGAACTTGGGGTTCCTTTGTGTACAACAGGTTGACACTAACTGTGTAAAGGATTATCTAGAAGATAAATTATATTAGTGCTCTTATGCTGGGCTAACACCAAAAGCCTTTTTGCAAATGAATGCTTGCCCCAAATTCTCAATAATGTAAAAAATCAAATAAAGCAGAGCTATCAAAGACTGAAGAAGGATGTAGAGGCCTGGAACCCTATTTGGCTTGCTCTTCTCTCTTCTAGTACTCATCCTCCTGCTCTGTATAAGACAGTTTGAAAACTGTCTTTTGGCCATTTTTTTTGGGGGGGGGGATTAAAAAAAAGAAAACGCACATACAATATACATGCAAACTATTCATCTGCCCTGTTGTATTACTTGAATTAGCTGTAACATTTTCAAAGCAGAGTTTAAGAATAAAGTTTTAAATGTCAACAAACACTACACATAAATTTAACTGCTTATGTCTCAATAAAAGCCTTTAACAACTAAAAAGAAATTTAGTGCATTCAAAGGATATATTTATATTTAACAGTAAGAGAGCATATTTACCGTTTGCTTTTTTTTGGATTATTTGTGGCCATAGCGCCAGAGTAACATATATGACCATGAACCATACAGTGACCAAGGGGACAAAGTAATAGAATTGATAAGGTCGATCCATTACTATACATAACACCACTACCAGGAAATTGAGACGAAATAAGACCTATTAAAAAGGAGAAGAAAATGGTTTTCATTCCAGGTATGCATGAAGAACAAAGATAGATTTTCTCTGATAGAGCATAAACATTTATTTAAGACAAAAGTAATAACTGTACAAGTATATCTTACTAATCCTTAAAATTACATTTGTTCTACAATCACTGTAAAGAGTTGAATATAAAATATTTATGCATCATTATATTAACTAAATCCAAGCAAACCACCAGCCTGAGCTGTCCTCTGGCTACAAGTGCCATCTTGTTAAATGTGGGGAAAGAATCATAAGCCTCCTTCCTACGGCTACAGTTTATAAGCAGTGATTAGATTACTTCAACCAAAGGGTGTCCATTTCATCTGTTTGATGTTGATTTACCCCAGTTAGGATTAAATTGAGAGTTGTCATAGATACAAAATAATATTACTCAAATTAAAAAGTGTCTTTGGGACCCCTGAAACAGTCATTTCAGACAGTGTGATGTCATTCACAGAACACAGAATTTGAGCAGATTGATATCAGAGCTGTACCACTTACTATGTGACCACAGGCAAATTATTTAACCTCTCTAAGCCTCAGTGTTCTTTCTGTAAACATTAAGATCACAACTCTGGTCGTAATGAGGGATAAACATACTAATATTCAGAAAGTGCCCAGCACAAGGTAGAAACTTAATAAGTATTAATCTTCTTCTTAAAGAAAACATATTACAATAATCCCAGGTAACTGTACATTTCTACAAAACTGAAGTGAATTAGTAATGTTGTCCCTTGTGTACTAGTGCTTTTATTAGACACTCATCTAAATTACATTTTCTCTTCCCTCAGTAATAAATTATTTATCTCGAATTATTAACCACAGAACACAGAGATAACACTTTAGAGTGTAATTTCATAAATTCAAATTATCTGAGTCCTTATAATGACCATATTTATATTTCTGCACCAAAATGAAAGAGAAAGAAAACTGAATACATTCCTACCTGACAGACTCTATGAATTCCAAAGTCTCCTTTGATCCAAAAGTATGAGAAATGCCCGTACCCTGTCTGAAATAGGTATGCAGCAACTAAAACCCGGATGTGCATATACACAGGCAAAAACTGTTGACAAAAATAAATAGGTAAAATATGTTGACACTAACTATACTTTGAGTTGTCATAACCAATACATTAATCAAGACAATGGGTCATTGTTACTTGTTGGCATGAGGTCAATAAAGAGATTTATTTTCAAAACTTAGGCAGCATAGCAAGAGTTAAAAAAAAATGTAGACTTTGGAATCAGACCTCATTCAAATTTTGGTTCTGCCACTTACTAGCTAACTAAGTCTGAGTTTTCTAAACTGCAAAATAAAGTTCTTATGAGGAATGCAGGAGTTAATAAATGTGAAATACTCTGTACATTTCCCCCACTAAGAATTAATATATGATATCATAATTATTAGTCACCAGATATGCTGAATACAAGGTAACTGCAGATTTCACATTTTCCCAATCAGAAGATGAAAAACATAACAAAAATCCCACATTTCTGGCCCCTCAAATACACATTCTAGATTTGTAAATTGTCATATAACTACTTACAATATATAGATATTTAGCAAATATATATATATATATAGTAAAAACATATGCAAACATAGTTTAGGAATATTATTTTCCTCCTACTTTTGATTTATAAAACAATTTTTTTATAAAACAATTTTATCCTACTCTCCCACATCAATGTTACATCGTGACCAAGACCCTGAGAATCATTTACAATGGTTTTCCAGAGCATCCTAGCTTCACTCCAAAGTTAAATGAAATGTAACACATTTCTGATCCACATTTTATGGGAATCACTGGAAAACTGCCTCATTTATAAGTCCTAATTTTCATAACCCTGAACACTGCCATTCACTCTGTCCATCAGCCATTGGTCCATTACGTGTATATTCACTATCTCCACAACACAACTTGTGCCCTGTTTTTTAAAATGATCTTTAAAAGCCTTATTCAGTGAAGTCCAACCCTTGCAATTATAAAACCATTCTTTCAGGGATAATTACTAAATCTATATAAAAATTTTTTTGGCTTCTATTTTATAGACTCATCTGATCACCTCTGTAATTATCCAGGACTGACACTGCTTATGGCTACTTCAGGTTAATGTGTCTTTCCCAAGTGATACTTTGCAGGAAAAAACAATCAAGTAGACACCCTAAATAGATTTTATAAGTTCTTGAATATATGCATCTTTTGTATATATCCTTGTATGCACCCTTGAACACATCTTTTCCTTTTCTGAGAAGGTAAAAACCCATGAATTTATAATAGATTATAAATCCTTCAATACTGCCTCCACTCTAGTTAAACTGCTAAGATTCTCTGTCTCCTAAATTGGTCCTTCCTGTGCCTCCTTGTCACATTTCCTTTGTTTATCTGTTTATTCTACCCCAGAATGTTGTTCTTGAGACCATATTTTGCTTATTCAAATCCTGTTCTTCTTTAGAGCACTGTTCAAAATTTCCTGTCTTTACTCTCAGATGAAAGTAATTTTTCCCTCTTTGGCATTCTTAAAGCATGGACAATCTATCAAACATAGTTTTTATTTATTATATAAATATTTTTATTTATTGCCCTTCATCATTAGTTCTTTTTAAATGTCTTATCATTAAATCGGAAATTTTCAATGAAGGTGTAACATACTAGAATCACAGTGATGATGAAGGTAGGATACGTCATATTAACCTCAGGATTCATCAAATCTAAGCCTCTTAACTTACTCTTGAAAACACTCTAAAATATTCCCTTCAAGTACCTGAACGCTTTTTTTTTTTAGAGTGTGGGGAAAGGTGGAGCACAGGGAGAGGGTGAGAAAGAATCTCCAGCAGGTTCCACACCCCACTGAGGAGCCTGACACAGGGCTTGATCTCATAACCCTGAGACCATGACCTGAGCCGAAATCAAGAGCTGGATGTTTAACTGACTGAGCCACTGAGGTGCCCCCTTGAATACTTTTTAATAGCAGAAAACATACAAATTCCCAAGGCATTCCATTCCATTTTCAGATGATCATTCACTATCATAAAGTTCCTTTTCAAGAAAAGTTGAGAAGTTTAACTCTGCCTAAAAGCTACCAACTTCAGCTTTCAAGGACAGTGATATGCAATCAAAATAAAATGAGAGCCACATAGTACATTTTTAATATGGCTACCAGAATACTTAAAAAGCTAAAAGAATCAAGTGAAACTAATTTTAATAAATATAACATTATTTAACTGAATATAGCCAAAATATTATCAACATGTAATAAGCATGTAGTAAAATATTTTATATTTTTTACACTAATTTTTTGAACTTAGTATGCATTTACCACAATGAATCATATTTAACTGGTATGTCTTTCATCTCAATCCCAACCAGCACATCTCAATTCCAACCAGCTATATTTCAAGGGCTCAACAGCCACATGGGGCTAGCGGCTTCCAAAATGAAGAGTCTAACTCTAGAGTCATTTGTACACACTTATCACTCTTTTATCTGATTGTTCCACAAGTATTTGACAGCTGTCAAACCTAGGCTAACTATTCCCAGTTACATTAACCATGTCCATAAAACATGCTTTGAAATCCCTTCAAGACTGGGGCTGGACCTACAGAGTTAAGACCTGGTTATTACATTTAAATAGAAAACACTATACATTTAAATTAAACACTATCATAATAATCTGCCAAGTACCTGCCAATGTTGCATAATTACATGTAATACTTCTTCCAAGTTTTTATTTTAACATAATTTAAACCCACAGAAAAGTTGCAAGAATACTACAATGGACACCCACATACCATGCTGATCCATTTTAAAGAATGTGGCAGACTACATGACATCATTCCTAAATATTTTAGCAAGTGTCTTCTAAGAATAGTTTCTTATATGACCATTATGACCATATTATCATTATCATACCCCAGATTTAATACGAAATAACAGAATCTATTGTACAATCTATATTCAAATATCCCTGATTGTCCCAGTAACATCCTTTATGGTTTAAAAAAAATTTTTTTTAGTAATTGTTTTAAAGATTTTATTTATTTATTCATGAGAGACACAGAGAGAGAGGCAGAGACACAAAGAGAGAGGCAGAGACACAGGCAGAGGGCAAAGCAGGCTCCCTCTGGGGAGCCCAATGCAGGATTTGGTCTAAGCCAAAGGCAGACGCTCAACCACTGAGCCACCCAGGTGCCCCTTTTACAACAATCTTGAATCAAAGATTATACATTGCACTTAGTTGTCATTCCTCTTTAGTCTCCTTTCATCCAAATTATTTTTCTTTTTATCTTTCATGAGTCAAGTATTACAACAAAACTTTAGTATTAAAATATATTTGGAATTCCAACTGCATTATAATTAATAGCTAGGTTGGCTTCTGATTCTGGTCTTTTTCTAGTCCCACAAATTTTCCCTCAAGATCTTTTATTCAGATTGTTTTATGAAAGTTGCTTAAAAACCCCAAAGGAGGGGATCCCTGGGTGGCTCAGCGGTTTGGCGCCTGTCTTCGGCCCAGGACGTGACCCTGGAGACCCGGGATCGAGTCCCACATCGGGCTCCTTGCATGGAGCCTGCTTCTCCCTCTGCCTGTATCTCTGCCTCTCTCTCTGTGTCTCTTATGAATAAATAAATAAAATCTTAAAAAGAAAAAAAAACTCCCAAAGGAAAAAAAAACCCACAGTAGAACACAAAATCATCTACTGCATAAACCCAACTCACTGTACTCTCCATATTAAATTCACAGTACTTTATCCATATTTTCTATAAATTATGTTTTAAAGTAATGTTTATACCAACTGCAATCTGCCAGACCATCCAGATTATTTTAATAATTCTCTGTAATTTTTTATAGTTTCTATTTTGGTATAAAAAGATGGCACAACTAAAGTTTAACATATTTCACTCAAAATAAAAAACATTAAGATTAGATAATTAAAATAACCATGGCAGTTAAAATGTTTTTAATGAGGGTAATCCTTCAAATATCCAAGAATCAAGTCCCAAAATACGTTATAACCCATTCTTATAATGCTTTGCCAATGTAGATACAGGTAATTTTTAACCACAAAATCCTATTATATAAAAGAACAGGAATATGTTAATTAATCATAACAAATGATCTGTTAATGAAAAGTATGTCCTTCCAGAACAGGGATTTTTTTTAAATTGCAATTTAGGATATACTGGGATGTAGTCTAAGATATATTAGAATTAGAATGCTAGCTTGGCAAATGATTATAATAGAATGCCAAATTGCCTTCATCTTTTTATGATCCGAATTCTTTCTGGAACCAGTGAATTGAGGAACTTAATCTGCCATTAATTCTTTCTATCTAATTTTTTTAATAGGAGTATCACCCTTTAATATGTCAGCAATTAATTATGTCTCTAAGTGGCATTTTCTTAAAACAAAGCCATTTTTCCCTCTCAAATTAATCTAGTCTTTATTCATGTGTCAGAGAGATTTCTAGGATTCAATATTCATCTCTACTTACTTTTTAGAGAATCTGACAAATATATCCTCCAAATTCTGAACTGGGCTCATAAACTAAGTCTTACTTACTATCCTCATCTCTCCTTGCCTTGGATCTCTTCTATTGTCTGGGATCTTTTGTAACCACCTGAATGCACAAGGTCCCCTTCAGCTGCAGCATTACGAGAATTTCACTGCTGCCACATATATATGTATCATAGCCATATAATTTCCGTATAAATTATAAATTATACTTCATTCTTTTATCTTCTGCCCTTCAAACAAACCATCCATAAAATCACTGACAATTTTTGGAAATGATTAAAAGACTCAATGAAGAATAATACTATTTTCAAATTGTTAGAGATACCTGTTCAAGAAAAATTGTTAGAGAAAAAAACCTTAACTGCTGCTATGGAAATTTCAAAATATTTCTGTCTGGACAATACTTCCCTCCTATCTCAATTTATCATTGATTCAAACATTATTTACAGATGTGTGCCTTATGTAAGCAAAGCAATAAAAAAAAACAGGTAGTTCCATAATTTTGAATGAGTTTCTTAAATTTTTAAAACATGTTTTGTAGAAATTAGTTTGTATCTTCACTGTAAAGCTTGCATGAAAAGCGGTTATTAGATACCTAAGTTCACCCTCAAAAGCTGACCTTAACTGCAATGTACCTGGAATATTACAACTGGGGATACATTTTTTCTACCCCTGACAAATCCAAGATATTCTGAGACCATGAGAATTCCGACTTTTAAGACACCCTGGGAGAAGGGAAGAATGATTTTGTCCATGTACTGAAGGCAATAGATGAGCAAAGAAATGGTCCTCCAGTTCATGGAGGAGGTAATACTTAGGAAAGAGGGCACATGGGTGGTACAATGGTCAATCCATTAGTACCGGAGTTCTATAAATACTGAGGCAAGAGAGGTCTAAGGTTTTAAACTATAAAGGAGTATAAATAGTTGGCCAAACGTCCTAAAATGCAAGTAAGAATAGAATGTAAATATAATCATCTAATTTGATTTCTTTTGATAGTAACTTGCCTATTTGAAATCCTTTGCATCTATATAGTTTTTTCCTGAGTTTACATTAGCTGTCCTACAGGGTGGCATGAAATAATACCTAAGAGTATTAATAAGAGTATTATTTCTCTTAGGTTATCAGCTGTTTCTATAAATTAAAATTAAGGCAAGGTATGACAAATAAATTATTGCCTTAAAACTATATATTCTCAAAGAGTCAGGTGGTAGGAAAAGAATGGTTAAGGCATAAAGACTGGGTGGGAAATAAAATGGTTCTCTAAATGGTGGAGAATATAAAACACAAAAGAGGTGATGCCCTGAAAGCAACAGTAAAGTCCCACCATTTCCTATGATTTCTGAGCTTAAATTCAAAATACTTACTGTACTTGCTCCAGAGATATGATAAATCAGAATCACAAGTTGCATCCAGCCTTTCCATTCATCTGTTTGTTCTCTATTTAACACTTTAGTCTGTGGAAAGAACCAAAGTCTGTTTTAAAATTCATTATAAAAAAAATTCATTATAAAGCTATTATTAAGTAAATTTTTCTTATATGATATAAAGCTAATGCTTCTGTCAAAAGAACCTTGGGGGGAAAAACAAAGATTGGCATTTGATTTGATAAAAGATATAATAAAGCTATTTAAGATATAACATGAATTTGAAAATTAATATAAATTAAGAGAGATTTTTTTTAAAGTTTCTTTTCTTTTTCTTTTTTTAAATTTTTATTTATTTATGATAGTCACACAGAGAGAGAGAGAGAGAGGCAGAGGCACAGGCAGAGGGAGAAGCAGGCTCCATGCACCGGGAGCCCGACGTGGGACTCGATCCAGGGTCTCCAGGATTGCGCCCTGGGCCAAAGGCAGGCGCCATCCGCTGTGCCACCCAGGGATCCCCTAAGAGAGATTTTAAATATTTAAGTTGCTACCCATGGTTTTATATTAAAATTACATTTAAACTATGACAGATACATTTGTAAAGCTAAAAAATGGCATTTTATAATTAAAAAAAAAATCTTAGAGTTTCAGTTAGAAAAGACCTTACAGTTCTCTTACACTTTATTGTGAAAAAAGGGTCTATTATTATAGTTTATTTTCCCAAGGATATTCTCACTGGAGATGAAAAAACTGATTAGTCATCCTCATATAAGAGTTATTTCTTACAGTAGAGTTTATTAATTCAAATAAATCATGCCTTATAAAGAAGTTGCACTAACACTGTGAGCAATTACAGTAATTCTAAAATAGGAAATTCAGAATATTGTAAGCAGTGCCCACATTATTATGTACATTCGAATTTGTGTATATACAATCTCTGGCTGTTTAAATATACAAATACAAAATTTGCAATATAGGCATTTGTTAATTATGTTTTCACTTATTTTTTAACCTTATATAGATAATAATATCTCATTTTTGCAGACCATTATAAAATCAGAAGTACCTCCACTTTCTCCATCCTTACACAGACAAATAACACTAAGTTATGACATCTTTTCACAGATCATTATTTACCAACTTTCAATTATCTTCACGTGACTCTGAACTTTTTCCAAGTTGTTTCAAAAAGGCAACTGTTAAGAGTCCACCAGGCAAAGTACAACTACAATATCCCTTTGTCTTCTATATACATATTTGAATATTTTGGCATGAAAAATGATATTATTTATTTAATCCAGAGTTTATAGTGAGATATAAAGGATAACATGAGCTAAAAAGGAAACGACTCTTACCTCCTTAGTATTTTCATTGTAAAATACTCCCAAAACCAAGATGTAGATAATTGGAATAAAGAAAGTTGAATGTGTATAAAATTTGTTTTCCTTCATAAATAGATTCGCACGGTCACACATATAGAAATAAGCCATTATCAGGCCAAGTTTGCAGAAAGACTGTAAAAGTATTTCTAATGGAGACACAGGGGTATTGATAATATTTTTCTTTTCCTCTCCACTTTCCAAATCAGTACATGGCTTATTCTTCCGGTGAGCATTACGATGGATTACATAAAAAATTAAATATCCGATAATAGATAAAGTGAAAAAACAAGCAGCTAGCTTCTGGATGAGAGTAAGAGGAGGCCGAGGTTGACAACAGGAACCATCTACAGGCTTCAAAATCTTATTGCAATACACGTTCATAAGAATCATTGCACTCTGTGAACAAATCAAGTTATTTGGTTATTATCTTGTCAGTAATATATCTTGCATTAGATTTTCTCTTGTGAATACTACTGACTTTTCAGCACTGAAACCAAAATGCCTTTGTACTTTTTTGCTACCATTTCCCAAATACTCATGCAAATAATGATATTCCTTCAAGCTGTAATAGCCAGTTCAGGGTTTTTCAAACTTCCTGGACTATGATCCAAAATGAACGATTCATTTTATAATGTGACCCAGAACACATATACAGGAAACAATATCTACCCTTACTACTTGGAATGCACACTAACATTTTTCTATTCTATTCTTTAAAAAAAATACTGATTTCATGGTTGCTAATGGGCCATGACCTTTGGTGAAAAAAATACTGACAGATGTCAAAGCCCAAAGAATTCTAATTAGCAGACTCTCGACACAGAAGATACCAAGGATACTTAAGATAGAGTCCTAGTCTTTAGGTATTTAAAAAAAAAAAAAGATGTAAAATTATGTCTGCCAAAAAGATCACTAATTCTTAGCTAACAATATTTGTGATTCGCTTTTCATTTGGTTTACAGTTTATAAACCACTTACGGGTCTAAAGTTTTAAGATTTCCAATGTCAAATAAAATGTGGACTCTTCAACATGGTTTCAGTATAATAAAAATCTTCTACACAAGCTGCCAAGATTCTGTCCAGTTGAAGATTCAGTCAAATCTAGTTTTATAAAAATTTTATAGTTTAGGGAATTTTGGAACTCTAAAATGATTACTTAAGCCTAAGCATTCAAAATACTCAACTATTTAGAAAATCTAATCCTTTTAGCCCTGTGACTTCAGGAAGTTCTGTATCTGGCACTCTTGAAGATACTAGCCTACAAACTCCAACCTAGCTTCTTAACCAGTTCCGGGGAGGGGGGGGGGCGTCCAAAAAGCCCCTTAAAGCATATGGAGAACCATGTGTGTGTTTATGCAAACATGCATTTTTCTACATGTCAGGAACAGAATCATTGCCTTTTACTGAATATTTATAGAGGTTATGTGATCTTCAAAAAGATTAAGAATCGCTGCTTTATAAGAAAACATTAACTACATAATATCTATTCTACTGTGTGTGAAAAGTTATAATTATGCAGTTCTCTTTATTTAACCTAAAATCCCTTTCCATCCATCTATCTGGATTTGTGCAGTAACTACTACATACCTTGAATAATACTTAGGGTATAAGGACTATAAGGAAATAATAAAAATGATCCTACATATGTTAAAAATGTGCTCTTCACAGAAGCTTAATGTTATAAATTTAAGGTTTAAGGCAAAGAGAACATAAAGTAATAGTTTTTAAACATGAGCGTGCTGAGAACGTATAAGCTTCTTAGGAGATAAGGTATATTAATAGTGATTAGCACTCAATAAATGAAGCTTCATTTCCTCCCTTCCATAACCTCTTTCCCTCTTTTATATTCAGCGAGGAGATGGAAAGCAAAATTATTTATAGATATATGTTTAGACAGAATAACTACAAGTAATTAAAACTGGAATAAAATAAATTATTTGTTAACCATATTATAGTGATGTATAGCTATAACCAATAAGATATTATAGTTTCTATATTCTGACAAATACAAGAATTCTTACAGTTTCTCTGCTTGATTCAGGGAGATGTAAGCCATCCAAAGATTCCATGATGGTTTCTTGAGCAATTAATTTGGAAACACTAAACATCTTAACATTTGATTTAGAATTTCTGGTGCTACTATTCAAAATACTGACTGCAGCTTCATTGTAGGCATCTATCTTCTCGTTAGTGATCATTTTCCTATTTTCACTTAATAAATCTTCATAAACAGGATCTGCACATGAAACACATATTTTTTAAAACACATTTAAAAAGTCCCTATCAGTAGAAATTGTGATCATGCAAGTTAGTTGATTGCATTTCATATTTTGTTTTTTTGTTTTTTTGTTTTTTGTTTTTTTTGCATTTCATATTTTGTTGTTACGGTTCCAATGCTTTGAATCAGTATCTCCTTCAAATTTAAAGAACTTTTATCCTTTTTTTTCTCTTACATAGACAGCTTTAAGGAAACATTTTTATGTTCTAGTATGTATTAAGAGTTTAAAATTTGGGGATATTGAGTTCTACTGGGCAATGGGAATTTAAAACTGGATTGGGGAAGAATGCTTAATTAAGAGTAGCAGTCAATCTTCTTTTCTACTGTCACTGCTTTCTTGACATAGTTAGGAAGTAATATTATTGAGGATCAAGGTCCCTTATCACTTACCATAAATAATTAAATTTTTTCTCATTTTAGTAAGAAAAAGGTTAACAATGAGTCTGTAAATAATATACAGAACAGATTATCACCACTCTGTTGTTCCATTCAACTTGACATTCAATTTGGAAATAATCATAAGAATTTCTAACAAGCAGGTTGAGTTGCTAAAATATCCAAGGCGATATCATATTATGCTAGGCATTAAATAATGGACATTTAATAAACTCCTGAAATGACTTGATCTAATGTCAACTTTCTCTTAAAGAATTTCATTACCAAGTATAAGCTAGATGGTATGATACAAATATATTGTTAATTCCAAAGTACATTTACTTCCAATAGGTCTAATGTTATGAAACAGACTTAATAATTTTATATTTCCCCAATTACAATAAATATATTTTGTAAGAAATAAAAAGAAAAAAAGAGCTAAACATCTCATTTGCCTTTGAGAACTTATTCTCTTTGTTATATTCTGCAGCCATTTTGTATGCAGAGGCTCCTTAAGGGATTTTTTTTTTTTAAGATTTTATTTATGTATTCATGAGAAACACACAGAGAGAGGCAGAGACATAGGCAGAGAGAGAAGCAGGCTCCTCACAGGAAGCCTGAAGTGGGACTTGATCCCGGACCCCGGGATCATGCCCTGAGACAAATGCAGACGCTCAACCACTGAGCCACCCAGGCGTCCCGACCTTGAGGGATATTCTTATTATTTATTTTTATTTATTTTATTTATTAGTCTGTCCACTCCTAAAGTTCAAAAAAGGAAAGCAAATAACTCAAATTTATTCTAATTTTACAAACCGTATTTCAATATTTATTCTCATAAAGGAGTAATTTTGCTTCTCCTTTAATAATTTTTATTATTAATAAAATAATAATTTTTATTATTCAGGAAATAATAAAAACTCATGCCTCAAAATATATACAAAATGACATTTGTTCATTACTCATTCCTTACCTTGTAAGACCCAATAAACATCACTAGTCTTTGCCAGTTTTTCTAAAAGTGGGGCTATGGAGGTAATGTTCATTTTATATTGGGAAAGCGCTTCGTTGCTACCATTGTGAATCTTGATAGACCACTAAGAAGTAAAAATTAGGCATTAATTCAGTATTTATCACAGAAAAAATATAATTTGCTCTATTGTAGCAGAAGTTATTATTTTAAGATAATTCCCATTTTTATTCAACATTAGAATAAAAATTGGTCAAATTATTTCATGAAATCTATGAAGGCAATTAGAAAAAGCTAATGTAAAATTAGACACTCAATGTATAACATTGAGTTAAAAGAATGTAATTTTAGATATAAAATAATATTGACATTTAACACCAAGTTTACGAAGTTCACTCAGATTTCTTCATGAAAATTCATCAGCCTCATTAATTATAATAGAAATGGGAATTGAAATATAAGTACAATCAAGAATTCTATTTAACATAAGTTAACTGTTTCTTAGCATGTCCTTAAGTATGAAACAAAAATCATTATGTAAGAATACAGATAATAACTTACTGTGGCAGCTCCTGCTACAATCACATGGGGTTTTGCAACAGAATCCTAAAGAAAGAAAAATCTTTATAATAGTGTTCTATCCAGTTAAGGGAATTAATATAAGTGACATGACTTACTTTTTGCCTTAAATTTAAGTTTTTTCTTCTAAATGCATTTTAATTTTATAGAGTTTCTTACTGGATTCTTGTTATAACAAGATGGAACATCCAGTACCTAAAGCCTTATATGGTTATGTGGTTAACAGGATGCCATGAAGCTGGTATGTTTAATTCTTTGATGTTCTTAAAAAAAAAGAAAAAAGAAAGAAAACACATCACTAAAATCTAATATGGCCTAATATTGTTCTGAATTCTGAGTAAACTGTTTAGAGTAAAGCTCAAGCATATTATGTCAGTAAATTAAAAAATATTCAGGGAAACCTAGAGGGTACATGGTATAAATGTTAAATAAAATACAAAGAATGTCATCTTTGGGAAAGCAAAATCCAGTATTATTATAGACTACATTGTCCAAACAAAACAAAACAAAACAAAAAAACCCCAGAGGAAATTTGGTAGAAATCCTCACCAAATGCAAATTGTACTATTACTAATACCACCAATTATATAGTACTTAGTAATTTATTAAATTATCTTAAATTAGCTCATTTTAATATAGATTCTTGCCACTTGTGACACAGGCAAGAAGATATTACACATATCTTATAAAATTAAGCATACAGACTCAGAAAAGTTTATAGGGTATTGCTGAGGCCTGTTTTGGGACAAAGCCAGAACTTAAGCCTTATGACCCCTGAAGTGTACTTTCCACAACATCAAAGACCTGATATTATAATCATGTGCATAAGGAACAATGAAAAATAAGCAAGAAATCTGATTAGGAAAAAATCTGACTCATCTATAAAAATGACAGATATTGTCTCATTATAAAAGTAATACGTGCTAGTGTAGAAGATTATGAAAGTGAAGAAAAAGAATAACAATAATTTCCTTCATAAATATTCTCATTTTCAGTCTAGCATGCTTCATTTTACACTGTTATTTTAGTGAAACTTTTTCTTCATCTCTAGATGGCACCTTTTCTCATTCTTCACACTGGTTATCCCAAGACTTATTTCCCTTCTATAGGTCCCTCTTGTCTTCCTTCTCACTTTCAATATAACCTTTAATTCTCAAACTTCATAGAGAAAACAGAGTTTACATGGCTTGTGTGCTCTAGCCTTCCTTCTTCCATCTTTACCACCTCAACCAGCCTATCGTCCTTAAGTCACGGAGTCAAGAACTATCTCCCTACTCCTCTTAGTAGCTAATCCTTACTCTGTGTTTCTGCTGCCTCACTCTACATCCAGGGCTATACCCATGAATAACTGATCTCCAACTCTCATTAATCTTGTCTTCATGCTCTAGCCTCCTTCCTTACCGCATCTATAAAATGTTAAATCATCTTTATCCTCAAAAAAGTGTTCCTTCGATCCTGCCTCACTCTCAAATCCTTCCCTCTCACACTGTTAGCCAACAGGTTACTTGGAAGAGCATTTTGCCCTCACTATGATAATTTCCTTTATCTTTCACTTATCCCTCAGTTGATTGCATTTGGATTTGGGGCTTCACATTCCCATGAAGGAACCCTGGATCCCCCACACTGTTAGCTTAATTCTACCCTGTCTAGTTCCTAAAGTGATACTTCTGATTGTCTACTTTTTAAAGACACTTTCCTCCTCTGTGTGCTACATTAGTTATTCTCCTGCTTTTCCTCTTCCCCCTTTTACTGCCCCTTCTCAAGTTTTTTTTCTATTGTTCCATTACTGAGCCTTCTTCTCTTAGTCTCTAAACTCTTTGCCTATTCAATATCTTCTATTCCAGTAACTTCACATATCACCTCACACCATACCCAGATTCTCCAAATCCACCTGAGAGGCCCTGACTTCTTCATGACTACTACTCATCTACAGAATTAAACCTAAATTGTTGGTTTCTTCACAGTTTAGCCTAATTTCCCACGACTACCCCACTATATGTTATCATTCTCTTTTTAAACCTTTCAGAGGTTCTCATTACCCTCAAGATAAATTCAATCCAATATTCTTACTTTTAGTAAATAAACTGCAATGTATTTAGAAGTAACATAAAAATGGATGGATAGATGGATGGATGGATGGATGGATAGATAGAAAGATAGAGCAAATCTGTACCATACCAAAGAGAGCTTAGGATACTATTCATAATCTAGTATCTGCTTACCTCACCTCTTATCAACTCTCTCCCCAAATGAGGCACATGGAGTTAACAGCCAAAACCAAACATAATTAAAGGAGCACTTTGAATTCAAGCTCCAGCCACACTAAAACTGCTGGTAAGATTCCCTGAATGGGCTATGCTCTATCTTCAGTATCTTTGCATATGCTATTTCCTGTGCATGAAACCCTCCTTTCTCATACCAGGCCCTCACCCTTAAGATCACTTTATCTCAAAACTAGTTTTGAAAACTTATAGTTAGTGTCTACTCTCTAATCTTGCTATACCCTATCCTTCCCCCCAATTTTGGTACTTGTCATCTTACTTTCTTAATTAATTAATCTGCTACTCATCTGGAAGTTCTTTGAGGAGAGGCACTCTATTAAGTTAACAAGAGTATCAGCAGTTTTTAGACTAGTACCTAGAAAATGGCAGGTGATTAATAAATATCTGTTGAATCACAGTAGAGTTGTCTAATTCAATGTTGTTTTTATGCCTGTAGGCTTCAATAATACTATTTCAGTTCATGAGTTTATCTTTTTAAGCCCACAGTTCTTCTGGAAATATTACCTCCTCTGTAAAGCTCTCTTAATCCATCACCTAACCAAGCCCCCTGCTAGGTGCCTCTATCCATGGTGCTTTAAAGTCTTTTGTGCTCAATTCTGTAGTTACTCTTCATTTTACCATCTTATTATTCATCAGAAAGTCACTATCTACTAGATATTACAAATTTTTTGAGGTTTGAGACTGAGGTTAATTTCTAGCCACACTCCTAATACCCAGTATGAAGCTAGTAATATTACATAAAAATCATAAAAATATGGATCATTGTATCCCTGGATCTAGCAGCTTACTATGAAAACAGTCAAAAATAAATACATAACTACATGTATACATACTTACTCTTTATTTTTATTTTTTTAAGATTTTATTTATTTATTGGCGGGGGGGAGCAGAGGAGAAGCAGGCTCCAAGCAGGGAGCCTGACGTGGGACTCGATCCCAGGTCTCCAGGATAGCGCCCTGAAGGTGGCGCTAAACCGCTGAGCCACCGGGGCTGCCCATATACTTACTCTTTAAATACATCAATCAACTATTCACTCTTAGGTAATGACATGGCCATCTCCCTAAATAAGTTGAATCTTTCCTTTCTCCTAATAGTCATATGGAATTTTACAACAGAAGCTAAGCTCCAAAAACTAGTTTTAGCAAATTATAAGAACCGAAAATCTGGATATGCAATATATCTCCAGGTAAGTAAATAATAAAGGTCTTCTGTGATTTTGCAGGACCTGTAAATTATACTACACTGATGTTTATTTAACTGTGAATTTCTACTACCTTAATGGATACACTTTCAGGTCCAGCACAAATATAAAACACATGTTTAAATCATTTGAAATACACATGTAACATTATTCTACACTTCTGCAATGAACATAACAAAAACAAAATACAATTACGTGAGACTGCAATTTTCCAGAAAGTTGAATTCCAGAAGTTGTCTACATGTTTTGTTTTTTGAAAACTTAAACACATTTTGTCAAAGAAACAAAGTTAGAAATGTTGACTATAGAAGCTTATTTGGTGTATGAAGTGGTTGAGTACTAAACATGTAATGTGAAAAGAAGCAAAAAAAAAAAAATGAAAAGAAGCAAAGAAAAATACCATTATGGCACAAGTATTTAAAAAAACAAGATAAACAAAATTGAATATTGTTTTATCCATCCTGAACACAAACACCTCTAGGAAAGAATAGAGGTTTAATTAAAGGACAGACAAGAGCTATATGGAGACTACTATGGAGATTCTAGAATAGACTTGTGAGGACTTAGGGGTTTTCAAGGTTAATAGCATGCTAGTCCTTATATCTAATTTATCTCCGAACATTACAAGCCAAAATACACCAGGCTTGACTTTTCGGTCCCAAATGTAATGAATAAAGGGAAGAAAACAGGCTATTTAACAACAAAAAAGGTTTCTGAAGAAGTTGGGCATGAGTCTGAAGGACAACATGGGAAAACACTCAAAATAATGTATGTTGTGCTAGGAAGATGACTTGGGTTTGAATTAACTGGGCTACAGCAGTAACAGAAAATTCTGTCTGGAAAGCATGCTATAAACATAACTGCTGTAGGGTCAGAGTGGTGGCAGCAAAGGTACTGGATCAAAACTCCCTCTTCTCAGTAAAGTGACAAGTTCAATCCAGCACAATTCAGTCACTATTAAGAAGGTTGGCATAAAGTACAGAAGAGTGGGGCAGGTGAGTAAGTGAGAGAAAAACAATGCATGCTCATGAGCTTTTTAAGTTTGGTTGCTTAAAACCAGAAAGGCCTATATTTTCAAATACAGACCTCGGTCCACACTTTGATACACTGTTTCATGGAACCATTAACTTCTGGATGCCACAAAAAATCCTAAAAAAACAAACATAAGAAAATCAAACATCAAAGAAACTTCTATCTGCCATTCAAAATAAACACACACACACACACACAAAATAAAAATAAACACAAAGCTCTGTCTTACAGAGGACCTAGAGCACATCACCACTTGTCTGCAACATCTCCACTCCTATCTCAGATACTTCTGCTTGTATCCTCTTCTGCTTTCCTCTAAATTACTCTCTGTAGTAATCTTTTAAAAATTTAAATCTGATCTTGCCACATTCTTGCTTAAATATTCAAGGACTTTCTATGGCCCTCAGAATAAATTCCAAAGTCCTTAACACTACTAAAGAGGTATAGGATCTGGCCTCTACCAAGACATTCTTCTGCCTTTTCTCCTGCCACTTTCTCCCTCACTCTAAGTACCCTCTTGGTTCTTGTTCAGCTCCTGGAATGTTCTATGTGCTTCTTTTTCTTCAGGACTTTGCACATGCTGTTCTGTCTACAATGCTCATAAAACTCTTCCACTGAGCCTAACTTGCTCCTGCTGATCCTTGAAGCTTCAGTTGAAATATTTCTTCCTCAAGGAGGAAACTATTTTTAATTCCTTGTTTTGTACATTCCTAATGCTCCACTTTTTCCTTTTTACCATCCTTATTCCACATTTAATGCATGTAGAGAACTATAATGACTCGCAAAATCCATTAGGTCTAGGACATCTTTGTCTTGATCCCCACTGTATTCTGAGTATCTAGAAGTCACTGCAACTAGGAATTCAGAAAATTCACATGTATTCTCTTATGAATATTAATCCTGAACACCTACTAGTTTCAAATTAACATAAAGATTATTTTTTTTCTGGACTAAAAAAAATGAGACCAAATTCTCCGTTTTACTACACAAAACAGTGCAAACATTTATTCAATCATTTGAACTATTCTTACCTATTCTAAATACACTGAAATATATTTAGTATACACAAAGCATTAGCTGATCTACAAATAAATTAGCCAACGAATATAGTTTCAACACAACATTTAGCTTACTATTACATGAACTTACCACTTTAACTGATGCAATCTTGTCTTCAAAAGGAATGTTTCCATGCTGTCATTAAAAAAAGAGAGAGAGAACAGAGAAATATTAATGTATAAATTAATTTTATGTCAATAATTCTCCCTTTAGCTGCTTTTGTTGATTTATTTATGCTCCACACCTCAACTGTCTATATTCAACCTGGAGGGAAAAAGACCTGCATAGAATACCAAAAAATAAGTGATACTACATCGTTAATATGTGATTTTTAATATCTAAGATATAATTCAACGATAAAACCTCAACTTCAAACAAGCAGATATGTAAACATGCCTACATAAATTATCTTTTTGCCAAGGTTCCCACATTCGGCTTTAGTCCTAGTATCATTATGTATAGCAGGGATGGATTGCTCCTCTGCAATTCCTGAGTCCTGGTCCTCCTAACCCTTCACCCCCACCCCAACCTGGCCCTCACTATTAGACAGAAGCACATAACTAGTTCTGGCGAATGTTACATATTTAAATGTGATGTGGGTCACCTCCCACTTCCCAGGGCAATTTTCTAGTCTCTAGCTTCACCTAATGCCAGACTGCAGAAGGAGAATGTTCCAAATGATACAACTAGAAGATGGTATAAATTCCAACAAACAGGAATCCCTGAATAGCCACATAGAGCAAAGCCTCTTGCCAGTCCACCTACAACATGCAGCACTATGTGAGGAAAAAACTTCTGTTAAGATTGTAGAGTGGTTTGTTGCTGCAGCAACATCGAGTCCGTGCTCACCAGCATACTAGTTACCAGTCCTGTCTGAACAGGAGTGCACGTATATGCCTCTAGGTTATTTTGAGTTTCGCTCTGAAACCGTACATATGTGGTCCAGCTGAAGAAAAAAACAAAGTTTGGAGACAACCTCTTGTAACCAAGTGTTCCATATAAAGAATAGAAATCCTTTCAGAGTTAAAAATCAAGCCTGGGGGGTGGGGGGTGGAGGTGGTCAAATAAAGAAGCTAATTCTCTTCCTAAAACCAAGGTTGAAATGTCTTCATTAATTTAACCAAACAGTATTTATATTTATATCTCTGAAATGAGCCTTGCTTTAATCAGCAGGCTAACTTTTAAAATTCAAGCATCATTTCCTAAAAGGACTCTTGGGACCAATATTACCTTAAGGTGTGTTCTATGGAAAAAGTTTCCTTTGGTCAAATAATCTTGGAAATACTGGGTCAAACAAAATCACACATGTGTTTCCTCCTTCTATCCCATCCCAATCTCCTTAAGATTCTTCTTCAGAGAAATAATGCATCATGAACTTTTTGCTCCTTTTGCATAGCTCAGTTAATTCAACTCAATCTCTCTCTTTTCTTTTACCATTTTACTTATTTTTTTAAAGATTTTATTTATTCATTCATTCATTCATTCATTCATTTGACAGAGCAGGGGAGAAGCAAGCAGAGGAAGAGCTAGAGGGAGAAGCAGGCTCCCCACTGAGCAGGAAGCCCAATGCAGGGCTCCATCCCAGGACCCTGGATCATGACCTGAGCAAAAGGCAGACACTTAACCGACTGAGCCACCCAGACACTCTTTCTTTACATCATTTTAATGTAACATTTGATATACACAAAAGAATATGTCACATATGTAAGTCACAAAGTACAGTAAAAATAATAAGCGCTCAAGTCCATGACACACATCAGAGCACTACCAACACAGTGAGTGACCTGTATGGACCTCTCCTTAATTCCTTGCTTCACCCAAAGGAAAAGCTACATTGAATTTTTTTTTTTTATATTTTGTTTTCTCTTTTATTATATAGTTTCGTCACATGCATCTGCATCCTTTTTTTTTTCATCTGCATCCTTAAATGTTACATTGTTTCATGTAATTGGCTTTCTCTCCAACTTTCAATTTTGAAAAATGTCAAACTTAAAAAAAAAGAAAAGAAAAATGTCAAACTTAGAGCAAAACTGACAAAATTATGAGCACCCCAACCACCCTTTATCAATTGTTTATGTTTTCTACATTAGCTTTTTTGTCTCTCTCTGCACAGACATACACATAGTTTTTCCTTTACTAAACCATATGAAAGTAAGCTGCAGACATAACACTTCACCCTTAAACACACAAAGCAAGTATTTCCTAAGAACATAAACATTCTCTTATATAACTGCAATACTATAATCCCACCTAAGAAATGGCATTGATAAAACATTATTAATCTAATATACAGTCTTTGTTCAAATTTCCCTCATTTCCTAATAACATCTTCCCCATAGGTCTTCTATTTTAATCTAGAATTCAATTAAAATCAGGTATTTAGTTATCAAGTCTTTTAATCTCTTATAATCTAGAATGCCTTCTGACCTTTTAAAAGTTTCCTACATCAATTTATTTTATTTATATATATAAAATATTGTATTTATTATTTTTGTAGACTCTAGGTCAGTTGATACAATGCACCAAATCTAGATTATAAACACTGAAAGTTACCTCTTGTATCTGTTTCTTAATAAATGAGTAATAAGTTCTGTAGGTTCACAGGCTATAAAGGTTCACCCTCACATGAGAAGTTATTTTCTGAACTGTTTGTAACAATTTATACTCTTACCAATAGATTGAGATACAGTCTTTAATAAATCTTGTCAGACTCCATATTTTTTGCCATTGTAAAATTTAATTTCTGTCACTAAACTAAGTCTATAATGGTATCTTACTACCATCTTCATTTAAATTTCCCAGATTACTAATGAACTTAAGCATCTTTCAGATTTATACTGGGATTTATGTTTCCTCTTCTGTGAAATGCCTGGTCATGCCTTTCCTCTCTTGTTTTCTATTGGGTTGTCTTTTTATTTTTTTATTTTATTAATTTGTGAGTCCTTTTATCTCTTGTATGTATCTTCTGGTTCATAGCTTGTCTTTTCTTCTGTAAGGTATCTTTTAATGAACAGATTATCTTACTCTTAAGATTAAGGTATGTGAATTTATCCATCTTTTATTTTATGGTTAGCACTTTATGTAGGAAAATTTTCCCTACTTGAAGTAATGAAGATATTTCCCTGAGATTTTTTTGTTTTGCTTTGCTTTGTTTTGTTTTGCTAAAGGTTTAAAAATTTTAGCTTCCATATATAAGTCTAAATTTATCTAGAAACGATTTTACTTGATGTGAGATAAGGGGTTCCAATTTCACTTTTTTTTTTGTCATGAGGGGTTCAGTCTCATGACCCTGAGCCAAAATCAAGAGCCAGACGCTTGAGCCACCCAAATGCCCCACATGTTAATTTTAAAGCTATCATGTTCCACTGGTTTCTTTGTTTAGCTCTACCAATTCCATACTGTCTTAATTACGACAGAATTAAAATAAATCTTGAAAATGGAAAATAAGTCTTTTCCACCTTGTTTTTTAGACCTGTTGTGGTTATTCTTGGTCCGCTGCCCTTCCACATAAATTTTAGAATCAACTGGTAAAATTCCATAACAAATCCTGCTGGGATTTTATTTGAATTACACCGAACCTATGGATCAATTTAGGAATAACTGTCATCCTTACAATATTGATTCTTCCCATTCCAGAATATAGTGTATATCTCCCATTTAATTTTATCATTTTAAATGGTGCTTGCATAAAGTTTTATGGTTTTTCTACATACAGACCTTCCACACGTTTGCTAGACTTATTCCTATGTACGCTATGGTTTTTGTTAACTATTCTACACACAGTATTTTTAAAATGAGTTTGAACTCTATATTCCTGGTGTGTAGATAAGCAACTGATTTTTAACAGCTTTATTGAGTTACTACAATTCATTTTTGTATGTTACATCTCAATAGATGCTATCTTGTTAAACTTTTTATTACATCTAGTAATTATCTATAGATTCTTTGGAGTTTTCTTTGTAGATAATTGCACCATATGAAATTCTGAGTCTGTATCCTTCCAGTCTTTACATCTTTATCTTTCCTTGGGTAAGGATCTCTAATACAATGTTGAATAGAAGCAACAATAGTGGACATCCTTGTCGTCTCTTTGAACTTAACATAAATATGTCTAACATTTCACCATTAGGAACATTTACTATAGGCTTCTAGAATTTGTATCAGGTTAAGTTAGATATAAAGGAACTTCTCTAACAGAGAAGAAATGATACCAATTCTCTGATGTTATTGATGCTTGCTTAATGGCCTAATACTTTGTCAAAAAAGATTCCAAGTGTGCTTTGAGAAAAATATATTCTCTGATTTTTTAGTGTATTCTTTGAGTTTAAGTTCATAAAGTTAGCATGTTGATAGTCAACTATATGCTTAAGTAATTTTGCTTGTCCTATCATTAAATGCATGAGCAGTGAACAATTCTCTCACCTTGATGGAGGATTTGTCAACCCTTCACTGTAATCATATTAATTTTGCTTTACACATTTTAAGGTTAATTTATTTCACGCCCACGAGTTTAAAAATCTTAGTGTTACAATCTATTCGGTCTTATATTAATATGACTTATCTTTCTCTAATAAGCATTTGTCTAGTAAATCTTTTCTCATTTTTAATTAAAACCTTCCATATTCTTTTGTTTTAGATATCTTTTTTAAGCAGAAAGTTCTTTTTAAAACCAACCTGAAAATCTGTGCTTAGCTGACAATGTAGACTACTCATACTTATTTTGATTATAAATGTTTCTACTATCTTACTTTTTAATTTCTAGCTCACTCACACATAGGTTTTTAAAAATATGTGTGGAATATATATAAAAGTGATTTTTACATATACATGTTTTTATATATGTATGTATGAATGTACGTGTATGAGCATATACGTGTGTGCAGGTTATGTAGGTGTAGGACATGTACTTGGCATTAGATGGGTTTGATTTTTTTTTTTTTAATTTTTCTTCTTCTGGTTTGGAATTCACGCATCCTAATTCTATCCTTTTAGTTCTTGCTTTTGATATTTTACTATCATCTTTAACTTAAGTTCTAAAGTAAAATAATACCTTGAAGAATAAACAGGATATTAGAAAACTTCATAATCACGTCCCTCTGACTTACATGCTATTTTTGGCCAGTTCTTCAATACGTGTAAAAAGACATTTTTATTTTATACACACTCTTTGGATTTACACGTACAGGTTTAGGATTTTCTTTAACCACTGCTCCTTATATTTCAGATCATTTTTTTCTTAAGTTATTTCCCTTCTTCCTGTTTACCCTTTAGAAAATCCTTTATTAAAAATCTAACCAGCAGTAAACCCTTATTGCTTTTATTTATCTGAAAATGTTCTAAATTTCAAGAATAGACATTTGTATGCTAGATACATAATTCTAGGTTGAAATTTCCTTTCTCTCAGAAGCTTAAAGCTATTATTCTAGTGTCCTCTGGCTTTCAATATTACCACTGAGAAATCTCCTGGCCCAAAGCTTAGTCTTCTATACACAGAGTACTGCAGCTATTGGCATCTGTCTTCAGGCCAGCCTAAACCTACTGAGTGTCTGCTATTATTGTTCCTTATCTCTGGTTTTAACTCATGGTTTGTTCCTTTTTGGGGGGAGCGTCTCTCATTTCCTCAAAGTCTAGAAATACATCAGCAAGTATAGGATCTAGCTGGTTTGAGATAGAAGGGGCCCCCAGAGTCTCTAGTTTGCTCTATGGCTGAAAGCAACACAAACATGTGTTGTTGTTGTTTTTTTAAATTTCGTTGTTGTTGTTGTTTCTGCAAGACTTCTCAAGTTTTTTAATATCATAGCCTAAATTAAAACCATCTAAAAGGGGGATAGGATACCTAGCTCTGCCCAAACTTCTATGACCAGAGCTTCTTGCAGAATTAGTCTTCTACAAAATGGAATTTGAGAAGAGTCATGCTCTATAGCTTCTTTAAGATTTGGGGGGTTTTTTGCTTTAACACAGAGAAGAAAAAAATTCAAATAAAGAATTACCAATACTCCTACCCAAACAAACCCTAACAATGCTAAAATAATAGTAATAATCAGCTTCTACAAGATACCAGGCTGTGTGAAGCACAAGACACGTATTTAAAAAATAATAATGAAAATACATAATCTCTGTCTTCAAGGTGTTCAGACAAGAGAGCTAAGCAAAATACATTTTGGCAAATGTTCCACTAGCAGTTTGAACTAGTTTCTCAGTAACTTTCTCTTTTAGACTATGACAAACTGTCTTTATTTCTTTTGAAAATGCACATAAATTTAAATGTATCTTGTTTGGTAATTGTGGGTTAACTAGGCACCTCTAGAAAATAAAGATTGGAAACATAGTGTTATAACTAGGGCTCAGAAACAATGTACTCCATTCTACCTACTTTTGGCTGTGGACTAATCATTATAGTTTTTTTCAACTAACTGCTGCCAAATCCATTATTCCAATTTTCAGAAACTCACACTATTCTGAGTGTAGAAATATTAAAACTGTTTCTTTGAAATCAGAAATCTCTCTACAAGTTCATTCAAAGCCTTTTACTGTAAACAGTGACAACCTCTTGTCATTAAACAATTCCGACACTTCTGTATAATTTTGTGTGTATAAATACAAATTAAAAATACATTTACAGATACCAAATTAAATGAAAAGTAGACTTTATCATTTTCCATTATTCAGATTTAAAATCTATACTTGCCTTTCCTAGTGGAGAAAATCGCTAGTATTTGACGGACTCTTCTCACAAGGAATAGTTCCTGAGGATGTAGTGATTATGTGACTAGATACTTAGCTGTGAAGTCCCTCATTTTTCAACTCCTTACCACAGGACAAGTTGAGGGGAACAGGCAGATTTTCATCATAAAATCAAGACCCATTCTCTCTACAATTCTAAAGTTTCCTGTATTTTACTTTTCTCTCCTTGCTATTGCCCACTCCCAATCATATGCAGTTAAAGACAGGGATTAGAACTTTGTATCACAAAAAAAAAAAAAAAAAAAGAAAAGAACTTTGTATCACTTAAAAATGTACAGAAGGAAAGATATGATAATTCACAAAATATTAACTAGTCAACAAATTAATTAACAAATATATATATAGACAGTGTTAGTTTTCAAAGAAAGATATATCTTTAAAATCAGAATTTTCTATAAAAAGAGCACAAAATTGTTGTTTTAAGTATACAGCATAATTGCGCAGTGCCAGAAAAACTGCAGAAAATTAGGTCCTGATGGACACTGCTAATAACAGTATAAGTTAAAATAGTTTAGCAATATAATCGGTAGTTTTTAAAGTGTTTGTATTCTTTAACTTAATATTTGCATTACAGAGATTCTATTCCACAGAAATAATCTAAAAAGCAAAGTTTTCACACAAAGGTGTAATCAAGAATGTCCTTTTTTAAACTGTAAAATTAAGAAAAAATAGAAAACTAAAAAAGAAAAGAGAATTATATAAAATTACATATATAAAATACATATATACATATACTCAATAATACATTGCCATTATGAAGATACTTACATTGATTATATAATAATATGGTGAATTATGATAAGGGGTGGGAGATGAAGACATAAAATTGTACATTATAAGATTACAAGATTATTTTTACTTTTTAAAAGAGGCTGAAAAGAAATATGGCAAAATATGAAAAGGAGCATAAGGGATATTTGCTCTTAGTTTTCTTTCTAAGAAATTCTAAAAAGTTTTTCTATCGAAAGAACTTATTATTCCGGAAACTCAAAGTTTACCCTAATAAAAGGTTTACTAATACCTTACCCACCACTTCTTTTTCTTATGTTCCGCATTATGGTTATCATTCTTTTTTCCCTCCACCTTTCCCAAAACCAAACTAAAACTTTTTTAGTTCTCTTTGTTAATGCAGGGAGGCATAATCCTCCTGTAATTAACCAGTTGATTAACTTCTAAAACAATAAAGAGAATAGATAAGTTTTACCTTATTTCCTTCTTCTTTGAATTGGGGATTGATTATTTTTACAAAAGAATAAAACAACTGACGAATTCTGGAATCTCCAACAAATGCGATATGTTTATCTACAAGACAGTTCTTTGCTTCACTGAAATCAATAAAGAAACATTAATTAAAAAGTAAAATCAGCACGTTGGCAATTCAAAGCACACAGTTTGTGAAGAAAGTAGTACAGGATTATCATACACACAGTTATGTTACTTTAGAAATAGATGGCCAGGTTTGTTTAACCAACCAGCCCATCGATGATCAACTGACTACAATGATCAATAGTTACAGCCCTCATTTATTAAGTGTTTAAGAGGTACTCTAAGTATATTAAGTGCTTTATAGCCATTATCTCAGAATAACTCCATGATGTAGCTCTCCAAGTCCTAAAGCTAGAGTCCTTCACTCAAGGGCTACTTATTGCCTTGGGCCTGGTTCTCTCTCACCTGAAATAAAGAAGCTTGGACAAAACTCTTTCCCCAATGCGTTTGGCAGGAATCTTCATTTGTACTCACCTCCTATCCCCCCCTTCCACCTCCCATCAGCAATTCTCTACCATCATATAGAGAAGTACCATATAGTATTTTCTTTGTTTCACTAACTCCTTTCCACTAGATATGAAGATCTATCCTAGAAAAGAAAACAACAAGATGAAGAAACGTTACCTGAATTTGTATTTATGCATCATGCAACTGTGAGGTTGCCAAACTTTCTCTCCAAGAAATCTGCCACTTGAGAGAAGGTATTCACATGAATCATTGCCTGTACAGTTAAACAAAGTGTTGTCAACAAGTCATATTTTTATATATTGATTATCTGACCTCATGTAAACTCTGAGATGAGAAAGCACAAAGTTTTCTATGCTTCACTATACCTTCTAGGTGCATATGACTCATCCATGAGAAGCACTGTAAATTTCAGTACATTAATATTCAAGAGTTAAGAGCTACTAATGACAGATGCTTCCCATAGATGAGACTCCTAATTCTTTTTTTTTTTTTTGAGACTCCTAATTCTTAAATGCTATATTCACTCTTAGCAGTTCCTTCTGCTTCAAGATTTTTTTCCTAGGGACATCGTCTCAAACTTAAACTAGTCTTTATATCTGTTTACCATTCCTAGTTGGGAAAGAAATTCTTATTCCTTAATAAGACTTTGGAAATTACTTCTTACTCAACTATGATAATGTATAATAAATTTGCACAATTGGAAATGCAGTAATGGAGATATTTTATAAACCTACTCCCTGATTTTCACAACTTCCCTGTGAGGAAGTATGTTATCCATATTCTGTAAATGTGCAAACGGAGAAAAAGATTTATTCAAGAACTTCCTATTGAGTTTACTAAAATCTCATCCTTTTATAATTTACAAAGATGAGACTTAAAACTATGTTAGCTACATAGTGGCTGAAGGTACATGGTATCAGTATCAATAGCAAATGCAGATTTCACAGTCATTAATATTCAGTCTACTTCTCTTGACGTTCTTGTGTTCCTTTATGATCAATTAACTCCTCCCAGTTTGGGTGGAGCTGTCACAGTTTCATACAGGAAGTTCCACACCTGGGAAACTCCTCAATCCTTTGTAAACCGGGACAGGTGGTCCCTCTATTTCCTTTGGCCATTTTATCAGATATTAGCTTAAATGATCAAGGAGTTTAAAAGGGAGTTGGATGCATTAAAAGAAAATCCATATATGTCAAATGGATAAGGGAATAATGAGATATTTAGAATAACCATGGGGTTACAATAAAATATACATATCATTTAAATTACTCTAATTCTTTATTAACAGTCAACAGCAAGCTCTATTTGTTTCACAAATAGGTAAGGTCAGGATAGAGGAACACTAAAGCACAAAAATGGTACAGAACCATTTAGGGAGGGCATAGAGAAAATCCAAAGACATTTAAAGCAGAACATATCTCTTTTCTCAGCTGGTTACCCATGTATCTGGCCAACATACAAATAAAAGGTGATACAAGACAGGTATGCATAAATAATGAAAGTGCTGTTATTTCAGTGTTATAAATTCTAAAATAGAACAGGAAGGAAGAGTGAAAATACTGCATTGTTGTGCAGTAACTGGATAGGAAAACTGGATAGGAAAAGCAGAATATCAATTATTAAAATTTTGCAATTATATATGTAGCCTGCACAGGTTTTTTTTTTTCTTTTGTATTTCAAAGATTTTTTAATAACATCTCTCTAAGGAAACTATAAATAATCAGTTCTTAATTCTTTCTAATTATTAAAAACTAATTCTTGTTCTAAAAAACCAAATTAAGTTACATAAATAATCAAAAAGGAGTAAGGAAAGGACTATAGGAACACACAATTATTTTTCTAAAAAATCCTTCTGCTTCATTCTTTTATAATGGTTCTATAGTAAAATCTTATTAAAAATCCAGTAAACGTTTAAAATTAGAATGAAAATTCCATATTTATAGCATTTCCACCTCTTTATAAACATATCTATAAACCAAGCAAAAAGTCAGTAACATCTACCTTCTAAAAAACTTATAAGAAGTTACAAATAACTAGGTATTAATTCTGCGGATTTTTTTTCTTCCTTTTCTTCTTTCTCCCTTTCTTTTATCGTTACTTGATTTTTGCTTTTCAGTAGAACTTGAAACAGAAACACATCTTGACCAATATTCAGTATGTGGGATTATGTTATTTGTTAAGTGTCTATTGGGTTATCAATATGGTTTTATGGAAATGGAAGTACAATACCAAGATCTTAAAATAACTTGTCTTTTCTTCACCAGAAAATGTGTTTAAAAGTGCAAATTTCTTGGTTTTTTTTTTTCCTCAATACTACTATTCATACATTGTTCTTCAGTAGTTCAACTAATGGGAAACAAAGCTCTGAACTGATGAATCCATATTAGAATCCCCACACCCTCACCCCATACCCTCGACCTCCGCCCCAACAAAACTGATTTGGAATTGCCACTAACCAAAAGGCACTATAAACATGATATTTAGAAACTACTGGTCTTTCCAGGAAAGAAACTTTAAATTTGCTAATGAATGCTAGTTGATGATGATCCTTCTTAATGTATTTTATGATGCAAAGTTTTTTTTGGTAATCCTTGTACCTGAAACCGACAGCCTCTGTATCATATTGGTTGAGGTTCCATCAGAAGACAGAAATTGTATCAGCTATTTTAATAGCAAGAATCTAACATAAAGAACTGTTAGGAAAGTAAAAGAACTGCTAACTAGACAACCAAAAAGGCAAGAGACTTTTTTATACTTGTCTGAAAAATAATATAGGGGTGACAATAACTACTATTATAATCTTTTCAACTACTGTTATAATCTGATTGAAAATAAATTAACCTAATCTAGAAAACTCCCACAAAATTCCATACTCTAAAATAAGTTCTTTAAAAGGAGGGAAGGGAGAAGGAGGGGTGGTGGGGGGGGGGGCGGGGAACCTGGATGGCTTCCTTGATTAAAGCCTCTCCATTAGGCTCAGGTCAAGATCTCAGGATCCTAGGATGAGACCCTGGACAGGCTCTCTGCTCAGTGGGGAGTCTGCTTCTTCCTCTCCCTCTCCCTCTGTCCTTCCTGCTCATGCATTCTCTCTCTCTCTCAAATGAAGAAATAAAAACCTAAAATAAAATAAACCTAAAACAAAACAAAACAAATTCTCTTTTCCTTGAAGGAAGTAATTTTGGATCAAATCACTAAATGTAATATACGTGTTAAAATAAGATAAAGTCCCACATCTTTATGATGTATACTAAACATACATAAATGTCTGCTGGCACGTATATTTCCCTTTCAAAATCTACCTAGAAAAACCCCAAACAAAAAGAAAAAAAAAATCCCAGTCATTATTTTCAATTGCCTCATATATTTTGATAGCTAGTTGAAAACAACCAATGTGAGATGCAAGTTGCCAAGTGCTCAGATAAATCAAGCCAGGGACACAATAAAAACAAAACAAAACAAAAAACCAAATACACACAAACACACACACACACACACAAAAAAAAACAAAACAAAAAAACATCTAAAAGGATACAATTATCTACTTCGGCTATCTCCAATACTAAGATTATCTAGATGAATACCTGTTTTCCTCTTCATTCTATCATCTTAACCATAAGCATTTTGTTTTGTCAATCTAAAGTCTCAGGTTTTTATGCATAATTTTTTTTCTGTAATAGGTACTAAAAGCAAACAAAATAAGTAAAAAGATAAACACGTGAAAAAAAAGCTAAAAAACAAAATAAAACTAAAGAAAACATCCAATGTTCTAAATACATCATAGCTTATATTTCCCTTTGAATAGAATACCTCTGGCATACTGCACCCGTAGACTGGCTGAATCATCCTACCAAAGCTATCTGTTTCTTACCACCAACTGTGAAAATACCAGATCATAAAGTTTTTAACATGATTTGTAGAATATTTTGCTAAAATTCAGCAAGGTTACACTTTGGTCTGTGTTGAAAAGAATCACCGTTTACATTTTTCTTTTGACAAACTAGGAGTGCCTACATGACAAGTGGTGTCATATAGATCAGGATCTTCCTGGCAAAGAGAGAAAAGGCTAAGAGACCTAGAGTTGCTTCTTTTTTTCTTCAATTTCTGAAGCTTTGAACTCACTTTTCTCCAAAACATGCAATAATATTTAACTGCATTTAGTATGCCTAGTGACAGAAAGGAATTATATTTCAACAAAATTAAGACATTTGAGACACATTTACTTTATCAATTAAAAAATTAAAATGTATCCAGATTGGAACTATCCGTAAGGCCACAGATACTGGCCTCTTGTCACAGAAAAGATGTTTTCGATCTGTAATCACAATATTAATGGACATTTTGTGATCTGGTAGTGTTGGAGATTGAGAAAGTTCAGACAAAATATAGTTAATAGGATTATTATTTAAAATGTTGTTCTAGGGATCCCCGGGTGGCGCAGTGGTTTGGCGCCTGCCTTTGGCCCAGGGCGCGATCCTGGAGACCCAGGATCGAATCCCACGTCGGGCTCCCGGTGCATGGAGCCTGCTTCTCCCTCTGCCTGTGTCTCTGCCTCTCTCTCTCTCTCTCTCTCTCTCTCTCTCTGTGACTATCATAAATTAAAAAAAATAAATAAATAAAAAAATAAAATGTTGTTCTAATATTTTATGTGAAAGTAATATCAATGATAAAAAAAAACCCTCTAATTTCTAAAGTTGAGATCAGAACATACTATTAGAATTTGGAATTCAATGAAAACCAAAAGAACCAAGTGAAAGGAGAAAAACAGAAGGAAATAAGGACTTTGAAAATCTAGTTATCCAATTATTATTTATGGAATTGCTACTCTGTGTTGAGTAGGAATCTCAACTACATCTGATGATTTAAAGATGAATAAAATACCCTTGGAAGCTGACAGTTTGTGTGGGGAAGATGGATATAAATTATTACAATACAACCTAAGCACATACTAATTGCTATAGAAACACTGAATTTCTAATTCTTCTTTCAGTGGTGGTGACATTTGAATCGGGCCCTGAAAGAAAAATCTGGTCTTTCTTTTAAGGAGAGAGGTCACTGCAGGCAGAGAAAGTCAGGTATCGGTGAGATACGTAAAAGGGCAAAGCATATTGAGACTGTGAGCCTGAAGTTTAGAAAGAAGGAAAAAGATAAACATAGGTAATAAAAAGTAAGCTGGTCAGATTTTGAAGTTTTACACATGTAACTTTTAGAAAGTCATTTTATTTGAAAAAGAAAAGGAAAAGTCTTAGCTGGTACTGTGAGGCTGAATTAGTATTTTTAAGTGATTTAATCCAGGTCTCTCTGGAAAATGCTTTCTTACTCCATCTTCTATACATCACCAGCTGTCTAAGAAGCTCTGAGAAAGGCAGTCTATAACCTAATGGTACGAGGCAGACTAACTGGGTTGTAAATCTTAGCTCAATCACTGACTAATTGTGTGTCCTTAGGCAACTTAACCTCTCACGCCTCATCTTTAAAATGTAAATAATACCGTAATTCGCTGGATCTAAGACCACTGATTATAAGACACATCATCATTTTATGTAACACTAGAAAAAAATGTTATCAATTAAACTTTGACATGCAATAAAGTTTTAAAAAATTCATCCTGATTACAGAAATGTTGAAAATGGAGTTTGGGATGGAGGATGAAATATGGTAATTTTATCTACCTCCCAGAATGCTATAAAGACAAAAAGAGTTCAAACCTGTAAAACCGTTAGTAGAATAGCACCTGGCATATAATAAGTGCTCTAAGGTAGCATGTGTGTCTGCCAAGCTTTACTTTCTGTACTATGTATTCTTTCTTTACTTTCTTTGGTTTGTAAAGCAAGAGATGCTTTAATATGTGTATTCAAACTGCATGCACTCTACTTGCCTGAAGTGTACACACACCCACACGTTGAAGATTTTAATATAAGCATAAACCTCTGTATCTAATCTAAAGTCCTTTCTTATTCTAAAGATTTACTGTATTGTGGTTCAACTATAGCATCATCTTTGTGTGAAGAGCATTACATTTCACTCAGGTTGACTCTGCCAAAGCACGAAGATGTCTAAAAACTTCCTGGTAGGATCATTATTTTTCCCAAACAGTCTCTGTTTGTCAAGTTCTTGACATTCAGTCTGGGTAAGTACACACACCAGGTGTACTGCTTCACACTGAAGACATGAAGCACCTACGGAAGCTGATGACTAGCTTCTGGAGGAGGCTTTACAAACCACCCCAGATTGCTACACTGACTCATACAGTTCCATCTGACATTCTGTTTTCCCTGCTGATGACAGCTCTTGAAAGGATGGAATACATAATCTAAACATAATAATTAGTATCCAAGCTTATCAAAAGATAAAAAAAAAACCACAATATAAAAAAGGGAGGGAACCAGCTATTTACCTTTAGCACTAGAGCACCAGTTATGACATTTATCTTCACTACTTCACAGAGACAAAATCGAGTTAGATTACTCTCATCTTATACCAAACTAACATAAAGTGATTAATGATAGTTAGAAAATCATCTTCAAAATGACCACAAATTAATGCTTCAATACTGCTGGTTTTCCTTCACACATGAAAGTGGCTGACTTCTGTTGGAGCCACTGCAGATGAGCCAAAGCCAGGCCTGCCAGATCATATGGCTGGGACCTATGGGAGGCTGAAGGAGAAAGGTCAAAAGGGTATAAAGAGTTTATCTTTTGAAGTCAATTTAGTGTGTATATCTACAGAGACAGAGAACTATTCATCCAGTATGGTACTAGAGTAGAGATTTTTTTCACCCTCAAGAATTGGAGAAAACAAAGCAGCAAAACCGCTCAAAATGTCCTACACTTTGAAAGATCGCCTGGGAAGAGAACAGAGCTCAGATTCCAGTACCCATTTACTGGATATTTTGCCAAAGTGGGTGCGAAGTTCAGTGGGAACCGCGTTCAACGTGCACCTGTCCATTACACGTTACATCTTGACCAATTACTCTCACGGTCACCAAGATCTGTCCAGATAATGGCTTCGATAATACTAAGAGCCAAAAATAAAAGATCCTATCATTATTAATTTCCCTCAGCTTGGCAGCCTCTCTCCTAGTGGCATTTTAACAGAGAAAATAAAAAAAAAAATCAATCAACAAGGACAAGTAAATATCCCTTGATTACTGAAAGATAATGCGTTCTGAAGTAAGGAGGTCGTATTTCCTTTTCCTCTTTACACCGATTTTAAAACCCACGCTGAAGGCCTCCTTTCAAACGGCTTTGCAACGTGCTTTCCTTGCCCAGCTTCATCTCCTGTCAACCCATAACTTCTTTTCAAATACCTGCCCCAGTCAGTGCCTTTACTTTGTAAAAAAAAAATAAAAAAATAATAAATAAATAAAAAAGTGTGCGACCAGAAGCCTTTAAACGTTTCTGAATCGCAGAGGCTGGGTGACACCGCCTCCGTTTGGCCGAGGGCATCTTTTGCCAGCTGTCGCCCAGGCGGCAGAGGGGAAAATGGGGCGGCCCTTGCCGCTGTCCAACAACAGCTCGGCTCGGCGGCACAGGGCAGGAGGCCGCCCTGAACAAAGGCTGAAGAGCCGGACCCCAGGGCGCAGGAGAGACGACCCCAACTCCCGGCAGAGCTGCCCGGTGCAGGGCAGAGCGGCCTCTGCCTTCCGTCTTCGGCGCCCCGGGCCGGCCCCCGAGGCCGCGGGTCCGACCTGGTGCACGCGGGCCCCGGGCCCCGGGCCCCGGGCCCGGCGCGGCTCCCCCGGCCCGGCTCGCGCGGGAGCCCGGACCCCGGACCCCGGACCCCGGACCCCGGCGGGAGCTCGCGCCAGGCCCGGGGGCCGCGGCCGCGGCCGAGGCCGCGACCGCACGGCGGGCGGCTGAGCGGGGGGAGGGGGCGGCCCGCAGCCCGGGGCCGCCTGGGGGCACGTGGGGGCGCCGCCCCCCCCGCCGGCCCGGCGCGCGGACGGACGGACTGACGGCCGGCGGGGCGGCGGGCGGCTCCCGCGTGAGCGTGGGCGTGTGTTGGGCGAGGGGGGCGGCCTCCAGCCGCCGCGTCGCCTCCTCCCCCGGCCGGCCCAGGCAGGGGGAGGGCCCGCTCACCTCGGTAGCGGCGGGAGGCGAGGTGGCACGCCGCGAGGAGCAGCACGGCCACCAGCGCCAGCACCTTGGCGCTCCTCACGCTGAAGTAGTGGTTGATCTCCCGCTTGCCCAGGTTGTAGGCCGTGGCCGCCATCTTGGTTCCTCCATGACAACAGCGCGCGGCGGAGCGGGGAAGGGGCGCCGCACAGGGGCAGCACTGGGGCCGCCGCCGCCGCAGCCAGGCGAGGAGCCGCCGCCAGCCCCCGCGCCCGCCACCCGCGCCCGCCGCCGCGGCGCCCCGGGCCGCCACCTGCCCCTCCTCGGCCTCGGCCTCGGCCGCGGCCGCCTCGGCGGCTTCACCCCAGCCTCGCCACCCCTGCCCGGCGGCGCCGGTTCCCCAGGCGCCCTGGACGCCTGTCTCCTCCCCTTCCTCCTCCCCCCCTTTAGCCTCCTGCCTTAATAGCGGCTGCGCCTGCGACGGGGGTCCGGATGCCCAGCGCTCGGGGGGCAGGGGCCCCGGGCGGCCCTCCGGGGTCACCGGGTCACGGGCGCTGGCGGGCGGCGGCGGCGGCAGGGACATGGGGACGAGGAGCAGAGGGGGCGAGGGGTCGCAGCTGGCCCGCAGGCGAGCCTGGGGCTGCCTCCTCTCTTACTGGCCACTACCTGAGCCCAGGTTGGGGCCGCAGAACTACGGTTCCGGGAGACAAGTACACTTTATTGCACGCCCTCGCTCCCCAACACAGGCTTCCCGAGCTCTCTACGCCCTCAGCCTGCCCGGCTGGAGGTGATGTCCCGGGGCGGGGGGGGGGGGGCGGGGGGGGCTTATGGTCGCCCTGTCGGGTCCAGTCTGCTGATCCTAGCTGCTCGCCAGGTGTTGAAACGGCTGCTAGCCCTAGCAGCGACCCGCGAAGAAGACCAGTCTTAACTCCTAAGCTCACTCTCTTGGCCCATTTCTCTTCAAACTTAAAAACAAAGACTTCAATTCCAGTAGGCGAAGGTACACCAAAGTACAGAGCAGAAGGTGCAGAATGAGCCCAGCTTAGTGTAGGTGTTGGGGGGGGGATCCCCCACCCTTCCTTTGTATTTATGTAAGGGCTGGCTAGGTGGATGCGCCAAACATTAAAAAGTGTGCTCATGACAATCATTCCTGCTCTTGAAGTGGTTAATGTTTGTGGTTATCCATAAAGCAAGCATGCCTTTGCTTTTGTCAAGCGCTCGTTATCCCTCACTCAGCTCTCTCGCTCTCTCTCTCCCTCTTTTTTTTTTTTTTTTCTTTTCCTCGTCTCTCCTGAGCTGCCCTCCAGATGGGAATGGTTATTTACATTGCTTTTCTATCTACTTGCCTTGTTTAAAGTGAGCCACTGGTTAGGTGGGGTGTTTTCAAGTATTCTTTAAAACTTTCCCATTTAGCCATTCCTGAACTTGTGTCTATGAGCCCTTCTTAAAATTATAGAATGTTAGATTTGAAGGGACTATCGAGATCTTGTCATCCCAATTCGTTTCATCCAAGGACTCTTTTTATTATGTTTTCATCCGTGGACCCCATATCTTGAAAGATTTTGTCACTTAAATGAAATCACATACATCACTGTCATGGATGTAATGCTAATAAGCAATAAAGTTAAATAAGTGTACAAACACTAGGCACTGTTCCCTGGAAATGGTCGCTTAATTTTGGCTGTCACTCTTCTGGTCCAGGGTTGATCACATGCTGAAGGAATTAAATCAGATACTGTAAAAACCAGATAAATAACTCTGCTAACAGCATATGGTCCGCCAATAACATCCTAGAAATTTCTATGATGTCATCAACAGCAAATTAGAATTTCTGATCAGTGTGTGATAACCAGTGTTAGCCCGCAGGGTTGATTTAATGTCTGCCAAAAGTAAAGAAACTTGACATTTTATTTAATTGCAATTTCCAGAAGGCTTTCTGAAATATTGTAAATAGCTTGTGGACTTCATTCTTCCTTCCCTCTAGTTTAAAGCTAATTCCTCTCCTCTGCTCTAAATCTCTTCCCATCCCCCTTTCTTGGGGTGTTGATGACTCCCATCAGTCATCCCTATGTCAATCGTCCTCTATCCGTGTCTTCTTTAAACTCTCCCTCTCTCCTGGCTGTTTCCCTTCCACCAATAAGTTTCTCTTTTTAGTGAAATACATCCATGGACTCTGTGTTTCTGTGTGTTTACTTCTGCATCTCTCTTTTCTTCTCTGACAAGTGTCTAGAAAGCATAGTTGATTTTGAGGTCTCCACTGGCTCCACTCCCATTCTCCCTTCTAAAAAAACTCTCAAATATGCTACCTCCTCTCTATCCCCTTGTTGTTGTCTTGGTTAAGCCCTGACTTCTTGCCTAAATTTCCTATTCCTTTAACTCATCTTCCTCAACTCCACCTCAAAAATCCAATCTGACTGCCTCTCTGCCATACCTCTAACTGGACTAAACTTTTTCAAAACTCAAATCTGGTGATGCTAAAAACTAGTGGCTCCATGTTTATTTGCATGCCCCTCAATCATCCAGAAGGCTTACTAATGCTTTGCAGGTTACCTTTCCCCCTAATAATCTGATAAAAAGAGAAACCATCTGATAGGAACACTTGCAACTGTGCATTACTTAAAAACAGAAGCAAGAACAGAAACTACCATATTTATCCCTCTCCTTTCCTCCTCCTCTTCCTTCTTCTTCTAACCAAATATCTACTTCCCATTACACCACAGGAGGTAATAGAGATAAAGAGGACGGGAAAAGGAGACGCAATGGAGCAGCCATAATAGTAGGAGGAGCAGTTTTGAGGTGAGAATCTTCTGGTATAAACTGTTTCTGCTTCACTGTATTCATTCATTACTGTTTATACCTATTTAATTTTTTATTATAGTATAATTGACATATGTTAATCTCAGCTGAGCAAAGTAATGATTTTTATCATTATAAAAATCATATTTATATGTACAGTATTACAAAATAACCACTACAATGAGTCTAGTTAACATCAGTCACCATACATGGTTACAAGATATTTTGCTTGTTTTTTTTTTTAAGATCTCTCTTAGCAAGTTTGAAATATGGAATTAGTAACTATAGTTCTCTTCTGACTTGAAAAATTTCTTCTTCCTCTTCCCCAAGCTGTCTATTTCATCTGTGTCTTGGTATATTATTTCATTTGGGAACCTGGTCTCATAAGTCTCCCTTCTTTATTTCTACCTTTAGTTTATTCCTTTTCACTGTTTGCCCTACACATAAGCTCAATGTTTTCTGTTTTTTTTTTTTAATTTTTTTTTTATTTATTTATGATAGTCACAGAGAGAGAGAGAGGCAGAGACACAGGCAGAGGGAGAAGCAGGCTCCATGCACCGGGAGCCTGACGTGGGATCCGATCCCGGATCTCCAGGATCGCACCCTGGGCCAAAGGCAGGCGCCAAACCGCTGCGCCACCCAGGGATCCCTGTTTTCTGTTTAAAACACCTTCCTTAATTCACTACACAATCTCTTTTCTCCCTATCAAACTTCTTGAAGGAAAAATCTGTGGTTACTCTTTCTTTCTTTCTTTCTTTCTTTCTTTCTTTCTTTTCTTTTTTCTTTTTTTTTTACTACTTACTGATTTTTAAAAACTTGAAAACTGACCTCTACTCCTATTACTTTACTTAAACTGCCTGCTCAAATGTCAACTACATCCTAAATTACCAAATCCAGTGTCTTTATCTTAGCTTTATCCTTCTTCTCTGCACAGCATTTTTGGAATATTTGCTTTCTTAAAAATCTTCTCTTTTTTGACTTCTGTGACACTACAGCCTTCTCTCTCTCTCTTTTCTCATGCATCTCCAAGAAGAATCCTCTTGCTTTTTAAAATTCTTGGAAGTGAGTACTTTTCAGAGTTTTCTTGTTTGCTTACTTTGTTTCTTGGCAAACCTACATTACAGGTTGGCTTCAACTATCACACTGGATCCGTGCATGCAACTTAGATTCCTCTCATGAGCTCCAGACCTCTTTCATATATCTCAGGGATAGCTTCATTGAGTACTTTATGTAACCTCAGACTCAGTGTGTCAGAGATCAGTTTTATTTTCCTTATAATCCCATTCATCCTATTATGTTTACCACTTAGTTTATTGACATTACTGTCCTTCAAGTCATGCCTGCTAATCTTTGGCTCATCTTTCTCCACTGCTTTATCTAAAGTACAGGTTTTCAGTTGCAGGTATGATCACAGATGAGCCTTTGGATAGTCAGAGCAAAGTACTCAAACTTCCATTTATAGTGAATTCCTGTTAAGAATGATTTAAAAAGATAATTAGATGATAAAAGCAAACTTCACTTAACACCGCATGGAATGGATAGCCCCTTTCACAGAACTGCAAAATGGTATGGAAGGCAAGGAATTTTTATAGGCTAAAAAAAAGAACCAAGGAAAGTAAAAAGAGAAAATATCTAATAGGCTGGAGTCACATAGTCAACTTTGTTTGGAATGAGAAGAAACAAGGAAATAAGTATACAGCCCAGAACTAGCCTGGCATTTAGGGATCAGTAACCACATTTCTGGTTAAGTGGGGGGCATTTACAGAGACATAAAGCATAGATAAGTTTTGGTTTGCTGATATGGCATCCCTGGGCAGGAATGGCTCATCTTGGGCCTAGGAAGTTATTTCAACATTCCTAACTACAATAAAATTAAGTTTTATTATTATTTCATATAAATACTTCCCTGGTAGTCGAAATTGGTCTATATGTAAAATAATGTCAAGTGCACTTGGGAATTCACATTTGTGAAGAGATTAACAGGGGCTCACTTATTTGTTGACATTAGGCATATTATGCCTATGAGCCTAGCAAATGCGTTCGCAGATTGTATTATCTACTTAAACTCACAAAATAGAAGGTGACATAAAAAAAATCCCTATGGTGAATGGGAATTAAAGATGATTCTAATTGTAAAAGCACTGGCCAACAAGAATGTATGGAATGGAATCTTCTGCTAATGTAGCTCTTCATCGACTACATTACATAGTTTTTTTAAAAGTACACATATCTATCATATACACACACGTGTAGATATATCAGATATATACATAGATTATATATCATCTGTGACATACACAGACATGGACAACTTAAATCTGTAAGAAATCATAGACAATTTTGAAATTATCAAGACTGCTTGAAATGAGAATTTACATTTGCTCATTGTAGACCATAGATCTTGTGGTAAATCTGTTGAATCTGTGGTGCTTGGAGGTGAATTACTACTGATCTGAAGCCATGGAAATTAAGACATTTGGAAATTAAGTATCCAAACATGAAAACTCCACTCTTTTTAAGAGTAAAAACAGTTTGTAAGCACATATGAATCTTTCAAATTATAAGTATCATATTAATTTGTTAGTAGAGCAGTACATATTTTGTAACTAAATAAATATACATTAGTTGGAGGGGTGCATGATCAAATTTTAACTAATATTGAGTGCACAGTCAAAAACCCCAAATCACTTACTTAGTGAATCACCATATCCTGTTTATTCTGGCTTCCTCAAAGCTCCTTCCTTCTCCCCAGAATGCTTTGGTTCAGGCTCCAACCGACCGTTGTAATAGATTCCTACTGGACTCTGTTTTCTAATGTCTCACTTTTTCAATCTCTTTTTTTGCCAATTGCTGATAGAGTTATTTGTCTGAGACTTATATATGGTTTTATCATTTCCCTGCTTAAAAACTTTGGGGGTTCCCGATTGGACACAAAGAATTCCCAGCGTCTTAATGTATTTAGGGTTGTCTGTGGTTTGGCCTAAACTGCTGTGTCTTCTATTTAGCTCTCATTTCCTTCAACCATGCTAACAACCTATAAGCCAGGAACTTTTCTCCTACTCTTCCTTTTGCTTAAAATACTTCTTTCCCTGTACCTCACATTCTACTTGTTTGAAACCTGTCTTCTTTTTTCCCCACTTCAGCTTTACTGAGGTATGATTGACAGATACAACTGTTTATATTTCTAATGTTCAATGTGATGAGTTGATCTATGCAGTCTGTGAAATGATTAACAGAATCAGAAGAATTTTCCTCTTTAAAGTCTGTTCCATTTTGCCTCCTCTGTGAAGTAAGCCCATGGCTCCTTATGGGAATATAACTCTTTCCTTTCTCTGATTTTTCATAGTACTTTGTTTCTGTCTGTGCTTAAGTATGCATCAAGCACTGGCACTATCCAATCAGAACAGATATCTTCTTTACTTGTGCATATTGTGTGTATTGGGAAATTATCAGCCCAGTCTTTTGGGATATATCCTACTGTGCTTTATAATCTATTCAGTTATTATGTTTATCTTTGTCTTCTTCATTCCCCTCCTTCTAGACTTTATGCATTGGGGCACAGGGAGTTAGTACTTTTTGTGTTATTTGTAGAGAAAACTTGTGAAAGACTTAGAAATCCAAGATATTGTGGTTGTCTTCAATGGAAAAGTAGGCATTGTCCAGATTATCTGATTCTATCGGGTCTCTGAATCTTTTATTGTCTTTGAGTTATTTTACATTGCTCTAAGTTATATAATACTTATAGTAATGCAAATGATTTTTGTCCATAGAAATGCAAATTGCATCTCATTGGGATTCAGTTGATTATTGCTCTGTGGATATTGAGCAGTTTTGAAGTTTTACATTTGTTAACCAAATTTATTTCGCCATTCCTAATGTCATATATGTGTGGTTCTTTTAATTCTCCTTTGAACCAATTGTAATATCTTCTGGTTCCTTCATTAATAATTAAATAAAAGCTTTGACACATGTTCATTTTATATCTGTATGAAAGTTATACTATATCCTTTTAAAAATTATCTTTTAATACATGAATATGCCTTGAACTTAATAAATATTAATGTTTCTTAAATCCAAGTTAAAGGCCATTTAATGAAGAACACTGGAGAAAATTGAGATACTTTTCTAATAAGAATTTTTGAGACTATGGAGTAGATAAATATTTTCCAAACTGACTTTTGGCTTGTCTGAACAAGTGAATAATTTCCTATGGTAGATTTAAAATTTGTTTTCATCACAGTGAATTTGAATATTGGCCTTTGGATTTTTTGATCGAGTGTACCCAAAACAAAACCCAAATATCCAATTCGTGTTTACTCAAGTATTCAAAAACTGATACAAAAAATAATAAGAATTCTAAAGTATTACTCAATTATTTTATTATATGTTTTAGTTGCCTTTTTTTTCCTTGTTAGTCTGGAAGATTTCACCTTGAAAAAAATTATACAAAAATCTTCTCAGTAATCATTTGGAAGTTGTATAAAGTAAAAGTTTCACATGATATAATAAACTTAAATATACAAAACACATCCCTAATGCACCTTATGTTCACATCTGTCCTTGTCTTCAGATTAGGAAATGTGTGAGAGTCATCCTCAGGTCTCTGGGTTTTTTGGACTAAATTCTCTTCATATCCCAATTGTATTCTCTTTCTCCCACTTTTCCAGCATCTCTTCTATCTCCTTTCCTTCTGCTCTGATTGTAGTGTTCTCAAATATCCGTACTTCTGAGAAAGCTCTTCACTCCCTTGGAGCCTCACTCACTTTACTGGTTTGGACAAAGGTGAAATCAAAGGAAATGAGAAAAAAAGTGGACAGATTGGAGACAGACTTTAGAAGTAGACAGCACTTGCTGATGGATTGTATGTGGAAGATGAGGAGGGAGAACCAAGGGTGACTTCTGTTTCTGGCTTGAGCAACTTGTGGCTTCAGGGACCATTTACTGACATGGGGAGACAAGTGGCAACAAGCTTGGGAAAGATTATCATAACATCATTCTCA